TCTGTTCTTTTGTAAAATGAAACGTATCAGTTTCTACAGAAATATGAAGCAGTAATAATGTTAAAGTAATATTTTGAGTTTGTATTGTATTTGTAATCAAACAAGTGAGCAGGAGAGACTGACTTATTTCCGACACATCATGAAATGTTCATTACTCCAAACCAGAGTCAATATTTCAGATATCAAAACTTGAACTTTAATCACTTTTGATTGTTATTCTTCAACCCCGACATTCGATGTGATATTTAGTTATTGTACTCACACACGGGTCGGAGAGCTGATCCGACATGTCCTCTATTCCAGATTAATTTGTACTTGAAAATGGAGAAGAAACCAAATAAGAAGGAAGAACTCACCCTGGTCAACAACGTCCTCAAACTGGCCACCAAATTACTGAAGGTGCGCAGATATCACACACACACACACACACACACTGATGAGCGCGTCTGAAGCGTGCTGCTGACCGTGTGTGTCGCTGACGGAGTGTGTGTGTGTGTGTGTGACACTGACGGAGTGTGTGTGTGTGAGACACTGACGGAGTGTGTGTGTGTGTGTGTGTGTGTGTCGCTGACGGAGTGTGTGTGTGTGAGACACTGACGGAGTGTGTGTGTGTGTGTGAGACACTGACGGAGTGTGTGTGTGTGTGTGTGCAGGAGCTGGACGCCCCGTTCCGCCTGTACGGGCTGACGATGAATCCTCTGCTGTACAACATCACGCAGGTGGTGATCCTGTCGGCCGTGTCAGGGGTCATCAGTGACATGCTGGGCTTCAACCTGAAGGTAAGAGCGAGGTCGAGGTCACGCTTCTGTGTGTGTGTGCGGCATTCACAGCGTGTGTGTGTTTCCTTCGCAGCTGTGGAAGATCAAATCCTGACGCGGCTCGCGGGATTCTGCACCGAACACACACGACTCGTCCTGACCGTGACCTCTGACCCCGTTGTCAGGAGTGCTTGTGCAATTCAGCTATTTATTTGATCCTTTCAGTGTTTCTTTTTTTATCCTCAAGTGTTTGTTTTAGCTGTTACAATTGTTTTAAGTATTATTTTAGCTCGGGATGTGACGTTCTCATTGGAAAGAGTCTCAAAGACTCATTGTTTTGGAGTCTGATATTTAAGACTGACGTGAGTTACTGAAACCAGTAGTTTGAAGAGGAAAGACCCGTCAGGTCAAGGGTCAAGGGTGGCGATGAACAGATGAAACCGACACACACACACGTTTATATTTTGATCTGTTTTTCTGCTTTGCTCTGTGTTTATATTCTCAGAAGTGTCGGTGAGCTGAAACTGATGCGTCTTCAGTAACTCAAACGAGTGTGTGTGTGTGTGTGTGTGTGTGTCAGCGGTTCGGAAAGCCTCAAGATGTGCACTTTACAGCAGAAAATGTTACATGTTTCAGTCTAAAGCGTCTTGGCGTTGTGTTTTTGTTTGGGACGGATGGTGTAACGACCAAAGTGTTTATTTGCGTGTTTTGCTGAATGTATTCGAGACTCTTTGATTGACAGTTTCTTTGTTGTGAGTTTGTTTTTGCCTGTTTTGGTTTTGATTCGTATAGATCCATATTTCTGTTCATGGAGGGAAAATGTTCTGTTACAAAGAAACACTATTTGAGGAAATGTAAAACTCAATCCTGTTTGTAGTGTATGATTGTCAAACGTTCCTTGTTTTCCACTGGCTGGTACGGCCAGACGTCACGAGACTGTCACTCACTGTACAAATAAACCTCATGAAAAGCGTCTCAGCTATCTGCTAACTCACCGGGCATGTGCCGTGATCAAACACACCAACATCGAAAACACATGAAGACTTTATAAGAGTTCGACTACATGTGGTGAGTTATCAAACCTTTCACCAAACCAGTGTGTCCTGTACAGGCCAGAACCAACCCTCATAAACACTGCTGATAATCCATCAGGTGTTCACTAGTGTGTGTGTGTGTGTGTGTGTGTGTAGATCAGGTGTTCACTAGTGTGTGTGTCTAACCTGAGCCGAATCTCAGCCGGACCCCGAGTCCTCCGCTCCTCAACTAAACTCCTCAGTGTGTGTGTGTGTGTGTGTGTGTGTGTGTGTGTGTCTAACCTGAGCCGAAACTCAGCCGGACCCCGAGTCCTCCGCTCCTCAACTAAAGCTCCTCAGTGTGTGTGTGTGTGTGTGTGTGTGTCTAACCTGAGCCGGACCCCGAGTCCTCCGCTCCTCAACTAAAGCTCCTCAGTGTGTGTGTGTGTGTGTGTGTGTGTGTGTGTCTAACCTGAGCCGAATCTCAGCCGGACCCCGAGTCCTCCGCTCCTCAACTAAAGCTCCTCAGTGTGTGTGTGTGTGTGTGTCTAACCTGAGCCGAACCTCAGCCGGACCGGTGTGTGTGTGTCCTGAATCTGTGCTCCTCCTGACGGACCTCAGCCGGATGAGCTCGAGCTTCAAACATCATCGGCCTCCGCTCTGACCTCTGCTCTACACATCGCTTAAACATGGAACGGTAAAAAAAGACAAACTTGTTTAAATCACCAGTAAAATATTTTACTTAAAATTAGATTTGCAATAAAAATAGTAATCTGCTGTCAACATTTCCAAAACATTCATATTGTTTACAAATTGATGAAAAAAAAAATACATAATTCAAAATCCATTCATGAAATGTGAACAATAATTAGTTTGATTGCAGATCTAATGGTTTCTCCTAAAAAGTGTTTTTAAAAATAATGTAACTTTTGCAAAGGAAATCCGTGTTAAATCTGTTCGTACCTTAAACTCAAAAACAACAACTAAAGAGTATTTCTGATGAACCGTGTAAATGAAGCTCATAATTATTGAGTATTTAAGCTCATTATTAATATTACTAATCTCAACTTGAGAAACTTCAAGGTCATCTTCATTTATATAGCGATGTAGATTGTTCCACCGCGGCTATAAACCCTTCTGCTCTTTATTGCTTTTCATTATTCCTGCCTGTTTTCTTGTCTTTTGTCCCCAAATGTTTTATTGAAAAACACTTCAAGACTCGCGCCATTGGATAAAATCCTACAAATATTGAACTTCTGTGATTAAAATAGTTAAAGAAGTGTTCATTAGTCCATTAGAGTGAGGGTTAGTGAACTACAGGGCATCACTGACTTCCCAAAACTGTTGAGCTTTGAGGGTTTTCCCGCTTTGTTTCACGTGTGGTGTTCCTGCCCACAAAAACTGGCGTCTGAATTGATCTGTTATTTGAGGTCAATAAACATGAGGGAACCGTGTCACTCGTAATCTTCTCCGGGAGAGATGACCTTTCTCAAAGCCCAGCCTGCAGAACTGCTGTGATACATGCGGGTCATGGTCAGGCATGGGATCTCAGGGGTCTCGTGAAATGTTGGTCAGGGTGGTGGATCAGGGGTCACTGGCAGTGTCACAGGGGTCAGGGCAGTGGGTCAGGAGTCACGGGCAGTGTGTCGGGTCAGGGCGGTGTGTCAGGGGTCAGGGCGGTGGGTCGGATTGGATCAGATCGGGGGGCGGTGGGTCAGGGCAGCGGGTCATGGTCAGGCATGGGGTCTCAGGGGTCAGGGCGGTGTGTCAGAGGTCAGGGCAGTGGGTCAGGGGTCAGGGGTCAGGGCGGTGTGTCAGGGGTCAGGGCGGTGGGTCGGATTGGATCAGATCGGGGGGGCGGTGGGTCAGGGCAGCGGGTCATGGTCAGGCATGGGGTCTCAGGGGTCAGGGCGGTGTGTCAGGGGTCAGGGCAGTGGGTCAGGGCGGTGGGTCAGGGGTCAGGGTGGTAGGTCAGGGGTCAGGGCGGTGGGTCGGATTGGATCAGATTGGGGGGGCGGTGGGTCAGGGTGCGGAGTCAGGGGGGTGGGTCAGGGCGGTGGGTCGGGGGTCAGGGCGGTGGGTTTAGGGGTCACAGGCGGCAGGCCGGGGGTCAGGCTAGGCTCTCACTCTCCCGGCTGACCTCAGGCGAGCTGGACTGCTGTCGGCTGAATTGGATGAATATTCCCTCGGTGTCGGTGTCGGAGTCCACGGACTGCTGGAGCTGATCCACCACGGTCTCGGGACTGGAGGACGACGAGGCCCGGCCCGGTTCGCCAGCGGAGCAGAGCTCGGGGATTATGGGAGGATCCTCACAGACGTTCATGATCGGACTGGGCGGCGCCTCGCTGAACACGGGCTCCTCCTCGAACGAGGTCATCTGACACACGGAGTGGCGCCGCACCCCGCCGGGCTCGGGCTCGTGTTCGCACACCGGCGTCAGCACCGGGATGTTGTAGCTCTTGGACCGAACCACCAGGTTCTTCAGCTGCGAGTCCGGGCGCGGCCAGCGCCTCAAGAGCCGCTTCTCTGAGGATCACACACACACTCACAGATGAAGGGTTTCTAACAGAAGAAGCTCCCAGAGATCATCGCTCACACACACACACACACACTCAAGCCCTCATCTTTTGCTCTTCCTCGTGTCCTTCAAACCCACGAGTCGCTCGTCTTCAGAACAAATGAAGATGATTTTAATGAGTCCGAGATTTCTGTCCCTCCATTGAGTGTGTGTTCAGCCTGAACTCTGACCCTTCATAAAGAGATGCTGAAATAAACCCTTTAGTCCAAGACTTCTGGAGACACTCGTCACTCTACATCTCCACCTGGGGTACCCGAGGCTTTACTCACACACACACACACACACACACACACATGGAAGCTCAAGCATGTCAATAAAAGCCTAAATCTTATATCTGTTCATTATTAAAAATATCTTTGTGTTCCGAAGATGAATGGAAGTCTTGTGTTTGTTTATTATTATATTTATTATTGTTTATTATTTGTTTATTAAAACAACTGGATGTTGACCACTCTGCTGTACAATCACACAATTCAAGTCCACCAATAAAATGTACTTTCAGACTAACAACATCTGCTAAAGCCAGTTACCCCACTGAACCAAAGGCTATTTCTAAAGTAACTTCAGGATTAGTTTAAAATACCCCACAGAGAGGTGTGTGTGTGTGTGTGTGTGTGTGTGTGTGTGTGTGTGTGTATGTGTGTGTGTGTGACGACATGATGGAGAGTAAAGTACTGACTGCCTTTGGGTGAACGATCTCTTTTATAGAACCATTTCTTTCTTAGTCACTTTACAGAACCGTTTGTGGGATGGGAAGATCCATGGATGTGAAATGTTCTTAAGGGAATCATCGACGCTTATCAAGAAGAACAGTGTGTGTGTGTGTGTGTGTGTGTGTGTGTGTGTAAAGAGGAGAATCCGCTCACCCAACACACACGACGACTGCATGATGGAGCCGTCGCTGGAGAAAAGCCCGTGAGTTCCCAGATACGGGGAAACCACCATCTGGACCAGAGACTCCAGCTTCAGGTAATCACTACACACACCTTTAGCCTCGTGAACACCCTGACACACACACACACAATTAGCCTTGAAAAAAAGACAAACACAGGAAATACGACCACAATCCACATCAAACCAGAAACACACTCAGCTTACTTTGAAATATCTCTACACATTACTGATATTTTGCTCAGAGAAAAAAACACTTTTCACGTCTTCACATGCATACACTAAAGCAGCCTTTCTCAAACTTTTTTCAGTCAGGGCACCTTTCAAAAGTGCATAAAATCTCAAGGCACCCCAATGTAAAATATAATTTAAAAACACTGCATAACCCAAATGTAAATGTCTTGTTTAGTTAGACTGAACAGAGCATAATATGAACTGTAAATAACAATAATAATAAAAACTGTATAGTACCTTTAAAAACAAAGGTTAGCAAGGTAATTCACAAAATAATTAATCAGAGACACAGATGCCATAAAACCGTAAGAGGTGGACCGCCCAATAACAAATCCAGACCAGGAGAACTCAAATGAAGTGCAGGATGCAGTTAAAATAAAATAAAAAGGGGAAGACATTAATATACATATATATATATATATATATATATATATATATATATATACAACGCAATAAGAAAAAGATGCATGTTAAAAAATGCACCAGAGATAAGCAGGAATGTTTTTCCATATAGTGTTTGTTTTTTATCCGTGCCATGCACATGCACATGCACATGCACATGCACACACACACACACACACACACACATACATACATACACATACACATACACCCACACACACAAACAATAATCCACAACGAGAGAGGGAGAACGATCTACATGCGTGCATGCAGCGCGTATACGCGCTTACACGCGCTTACACAAGCCGGGGGTGGGGGTGACCACAATCGAGACGTGAGCCTGGTGCGACGCACACAGCCGCCCTATCCTAGCAGGGTTGGATGAGAGGTGGTCAGGTGTCTTTTAAGTTTGCGGAATCATCCCTTGGTTTCATAGTATATTAGACACAACGGGAGAGGGCATGTTGCATCCCCAGTACTGAAGAAGTAGGCTGAGGCTCCATTTCACAGAAAAACTGTCCGGTTCTTGGGGGGATTTTCTTTAAAAAAAAAAAAAGATCCACAATGCTGTAACTAAAGTGACCTAAATTTACGTTTATTTTTACGTTTCTGTCAGTCTGAGGTGTTGTTGCTATAACGCGTTGCTATGGATTGCGTCACTTCCGTCAAGTTTCGTGTCTTGCGAGACGGATTTTTATGCTTAATTTTATATATTTATCTAAAATGAATTTACAATTTTATTAATACGTTCATATGTTTAAAAAGAAGAATGTAAATATGTAAATTCAAATATATTTATATATGAAATGTCAGTTGTTTTTTTATTTTTTTATTTTTATTTTTTTTTAGCCTACGTAATTTTTTGGCGGCACCCCAGACACAGTCAGGGGGCACCCCAGTGTGCCGCGGCACCCACTTTGAGAAAGGCTGCACTAAAGCACACACACACACACTCACACACACTCACACACACACACACACACACGTCATGCGACTCCTTCCTGTGAATTTAAAACTGTCAGTTTCGGCTCTGCATCGACTCAGGAAATCTACAAACATCTCAGATAAGACGTTGCATTTGTTTACATGTTTGTTTACACAAGCGTCTGAAGGGTTGCTGGGAAACACACGCACACACACACACACACACACCTGCAGGATGAGCAGTATCTGGATGATGGAGGGAGGCACACACACACACACACACACACACACGCACACACACACACACACACCTGCAGGATGAGCAGCATCTGGATGATGGAGGGAGGCACACACACACACACACACACACACACACGCACACACACACACACACACACCTGCAGGATGAGCAGCATCTGGATGATGGAGGGAGGCACACACACACACACACACACACACACCTGCAGGATGAGCAGCATCTGGATGATGGAGGGAGGCACACACGCGCGTTGTCGACTCAGAGCTTCTTCCAGCTTCGTGTTCAGAGTGATGATGTTCCTGAAATGCAGCAGAGCCAGCTGACGGACCGACGGCTCCTTCCCCTACACACACACACACACACACAATCACACATGCGGTTCACTGGTTCAGTGGAATGGATCAGTGTGTGTGTGTGTGTGTGTGTGTGTGTGTGTGTGTGTGTGTGTGAAGCACCTGCACAGGGTGGAAGATGGCCTGCAGTGTGGACAGAACATCACAGAAGAAGAAGTCCCACGTTTCTGCCAGAGAATCAAGCAGCTTCTGACCTACACACACACACACACACACACACACACACACACACAAATTGTGCTCCAAACCCAAATATATTCAGATGTCTGATTCTCATTCATTAGATCTTAAATATAAAATCATCTTACCTTCATAAAAGCGAATTTTATCTCGAAGAATGACCATTCCCTTAGTCAGCAGCTGATTCTGTGAACAATCACAATCACACACACTCAGTTCACACTCACAAACACACACACACTCAGTTCACACTCACAAACATCACACTCACAAACACACACACACACACTCAGTTCACACTCACAATAATCACACTCACACACACACACACTCAGTTCACACTAGGGCTGGGTATTGACACAGATTTCACAATTCGATTCGATTTCGATTCACCAGCTTGCAATTCGATTCGATTACGATTCGATTCGATTCAATTTTGATTATTTTGGATATCAGGTCCAATACATGGCCAATTTTCTCAAGGAAAACAAATCTCCGAACTAATGCTGTAAACTATGGGAGTCAGGAGCCTATAGGCTTCATTATGATATTACTACTACTACTATGATGATATTGAAGATAACTGATATAACTAGCTATACAAACACTTAAATTACACATTTATTTTTATAATAAGAAAGTTATATGAAATATAAACATTCAAATGGTGCCTGTCTTAAAAACTTGCCAGATTTATTCAAACATGCATTAAATATTGAAGAACAAAAAAAAAATTAATTAAAAATTATAATGTAATAATGTAATATGGTTCATAAATTTAGCAAAATTCTCCTCTCTAGAGTTATAATTTTCTAGCTGTCTAACTAACTAAGTTTCGATAAGTAGTACTCTCTCTTTAACACACTGTCAGATGCTCACGCATGTTTGTTTGGCGCTGTAACTGGTATTATTGAGCCGGAAGAAAAGATCATGTGCTGCTGCTTGTCTTGAGCTGAGCCAGAGCGATCTCACGCCACAGCCAACAAAACGCTATTTATGTTTTTTGAATTTCATAAGAAAATGGACCTAATTCGAAATTTGAGACTTTATTACATAAAAATAGTAACAAAGCACAAATATTATTACGATGGATTGGATAGGCTACGCGCTACAATGTTCCATTCATTCATCAAACGAAAACAGGATGACTAATCGATTCTTGAGGTTTAAGAACTGAAATCAGTCAGTAAAAATGAGAATCAATTAATATTGAGAAATCGATATTTTTTACCCAGCCGTAGTTCACACTCACTCACAATCAGCACATCTTCGTTAGTGAGGATTACAGAGAGACTCGTTTGATCACCTGCAGGTACTCAGTGAAGAAGGAGCCCAACTCAGTCTTCAGGAGCTGCCTAAACACAGACCAAACCCGGCACGTTACTGTCCCCGTGAGTGAGTGTGTGTGTGTGTGTGTGTGTGTGTGTGTAATGAAGGCCACCACTGTCTATCTATTTCACACAGTCATGCCAATAAAGCTCATTTGACCTGAAGGTCTCTCACCTGACGCCTTCATTCAGGACGTAGAGCTCGTTCTCTCCCAGATCCCTCCGCTGGAACACGGAGATCACGGCATTATGGATGCTGTGGATTAAAGTGTCATTTTGTTAATTAAAGTTAATTTTCTCATGATATCCATTACACATTTTTCAACGATTCTCAAACGACTCGACGGATGAATCAGTCTCTCTAAATCCCTCCTTTCCGTAAGCTACTCTGCTCTGATTGGCCAGACGCTCAGTGTGTTGTGATTGGTCTACTCTGTTCTGATAGGACAAAAGTCAAATTAGACTATTGTGAACAGGTTTTCATAAGCTGTAAGCCATAATCATCAAAATTATAAACAATAGAGGCTTTATCACACACACACACACACACACACACACACACACACAGCATCAGTGATATCAAACAATCATTGTTCTCCAGCCACTAGTGTGTGTACTCAGAAACAGAGAATTCCCTTCACACACAAACTATAAGGCCTGATTTGTGTTCTGGACTGCATCCCCCAGGCTCGCTCTCTCTCTCTCACACACACACACACACACACACACACACACACACACACAACAACAACAACAAACAAACAAACAGAGGAAACTGGTTTTGTAGGAATTTCTCCTCAAAAGATGAGAACAAATGAGCTTTTATACAGTGTGTGTGTGTGACATTGTTTGTCAGCACACTCTCACACACACTAGCAAAACCTCTTTTTGTAGACATCGTCATTTCTAAAAATAATATATATGTCAAGTAAATGTATTTAGTCCACCATTTAAACCTTATTTTCTGTTAAACTGAACTGCACCAGTTTAGAGCTCTGGGTTAGGTTACTCAACAGAATTTATTACTAACTGATTTACTATGTAAAATCAACGACTGCAGTACATTACAATACACGCTTACATTTACACAACCAAGAAAATGTGCTGTTGTGTGTGTGTGTGTGTGTGTGTGTACCTGATCCAGGTGGTGTTGTTTCCGGCTCGCTGCTGCTGGTTGTTCCTGTCATCCAGCGCTGATCTCTCTGAACGACCCAAATCACTCAGACTGGGAGAACTCATTAACTTCAGCCTGTGAAGCGTCCTCATCATCACACACACACACACACACACACACACACACACAGCAGTTAGAGTGATGCAGGAGTGAAAGTGTGTGTGTGTCGCCTCTCTCACTTCTATTGTCTGTCTGTCTCTGTCAGTGGTTAGAAGGAGGGACTCAGTGACAATGTGCACAAATCAACCACTTCCCTACTGACACACACACACACACACACACACACACATGCACACAGTACAAACCTACACACATTATTGCACAACTTCAAAATAAAAAGTTCGGGTTTACTGTAAAGCAAATGTACTGAACTAAATTTATATTTGTAAAAAATATAAACACTTTCAAAATACGCCACATGACGAATCAACATATGCTGCAAATTAAAGTTGGTGAGAAACTGAAGTTCCTGTTTTGCTTAAGCGCTTTACCAAAAACAGCCACTGGGTGACACACACACACACACACACACACACACTGATGCGTCTCCTGTCACAAATTAAAATATTTCTGTCACAATATCAGTTCACTTCTATCGCAGATCAGCAGCCAGACAACATGAGATCAGTCAAGATTAGAAAAAGATTTGATTATTAAATAGTGCCGAAAAATAACATGTTAACAATTTTAAAACAGATTCACAGTGACATTTTTCTAATAAGGACATCCCCAAATAGAGGTTTACATTCACTGAACACACACCCGACTGACGAACACACACCCGACTGATGAACACACACCCGACTGATGAACACACACCCGACTGACGAACACACACCCGACTGATGAACACACACCCGACCGATGAACACACACACGACCGATGAACACACACACGACCGATGAACACACACCCGACTGAAGAACACACACCCGACCGATGAACACACACCCGACTGACGAACACACACCCGACTGATGAACACACACCCGACTGATGAACACACACCCGACTGACGAACACACACCCGACCGATGAACGCACACCCGACTGAAGAACGCACACCCGACCGATGAACGCACACCCGACCGATGAACGCACACCCGACCGATGAACACACACCCGACCGATGAACACACACCCGACTGATGAACACACACCCGACCGATGAACACACACCCGACCGATGAACACACACCCGACTGAAGAACACACACCCGACCGATGAACACACACCCGACTGACGAACACACACCCGACTGATGAACACACACCCGACCGATGAACACACACCCAACCGATGAACACACACCCGACTGACGAACACACACCCGACTGACGAACACACACCCGACTGACGAACACACACCCGACCGATGAACACACACCCGACTGATGAACACACACCCGACCGACGAACACACACCCGACCGACGAACACACACCCGACTGATAAACACACACCCGACTGATGAACACACACCCGACCGATGAACACACACCCGACCGATGAACACACACCCGACTGATGAACACACACCCGACTGATGAACACACACCCGACCGACGAACACACACCCGACTGACGAACACACACCCGACCGATGAACACACACCCGACTGATGAACACACACCCGACTGACGAACACACACCCGACTGACGAACACACACCCGACTGACGAACACACACCCGACCGATGAACACACACCCGACCGATGAACACACACCCGACCGACGAACACACACCCGACCGACGAACTCACACCCGACTGAAGAACACACACCCGACCGATGAACGCACACCCGACCGATGAACGCACACCCGACCGACGAACGCACACCCGACTGATGAACGCACACCCGACCGATGAACGCACACCCGACCGAGGAACGCACACCCGACCGATGAACGCACACCCGACCGATGAACGCACACCCGACCGATGAACGCACACCCGACCGACGAACGCACACCCGACCGACGAACGCACACCCGACCGACGAACGCACACCCGACCGACGAACGCACACCCGACCGACGAACGCACACCCGACCGACGAACGCACACCCGACCGACGAACGCACACCCGACCGACGAACGCACACCCGACCGACGAACGCACACCCGACCGACGAACGCACACCCGACCGATGAACGCACACCCGACCGATGAACGCGCACACCCGACCGACGAACGCACACCCGACCGACGAACGCACACCCGACCGACGAACGCACACCCGACCGACGAACGCACACCCGACCGACGAACGCACACCCGACCGACGAACGCACACCCGACCGACGATCGCACACCCGACCGACGAACGCACACCCGACCGACGAACGCACACCCGACCGATGAACGCACACCCGACTGACGAACGCACACCCGACCGATGAACGCACACCCGACCGATGAACGCACACCCGACCGATGAACGCACACCCGACCGATGAACGCACACCCGACCGATGAACGCACACCCGACCGATGAACGCACACCCGACCGATGAACGCACACCCGACCGATGAACGCACACCCGACCGATGAACGCACACCCGACCGATGAACGCACACCCGACCGATGAACGCACACCCGACCGATGAACGCACACCCGACCGATGAACGCACACCCGACCGATGAACACACACCCGACCGATGAACACACACCCGACCGATGAACACACACCCGACTGATGAACACACACCCGACCGATGAACACACACCCGACCGATGAACACACACCCGACCGATGAACACACACCCGACTGATGAACACACACCCGACCGATGAACACACACCCGACCGATGAACACACACCCGACCGATGAACACACACCCGACCGATGAACGCACACCCGACCGATGAACGCACACCCGACCGATGAACGCACACCCGACCGATGAACGCACACCCGACCGATGAACGCACACCCGACCGATGAACACACACCCGACCGATGAACACACACCCGACCGATGAACACACACCCGACCGATGAACACACACCCGACCGATGAACACACACCCGACCGAAGAACACACACCCGACCGATGAACGCACACCCGACCGATGAACGCACACCCGACCGATGAACGCACACCCGACCGATGAACGCACACCCGACCGATGAACGCACACCCGACCGATGAACACACACCCGACCGATGAACACACACCCGACCGATGAACACACACCCGACCGATGAACACACACCCGACCGATGAACACACACCCGACCGATGAACGCACACCCGACCGATGAACGCACACCCGACCGATGAACGCACACCCGACCGATGAACGCACACCCGACCGATGAACGCACACCCGACCGATGAACACACACCCGACCGATGAACACACACCCGACCGATGAACACACACCCGACCGATGAACACACACCCGACCGATGAACACACACCCGACCGATGAACGCACACCCGACCGATGAACGCACACCCGACCGATGAACACACACCCGACCGATGAACACACACCCGACCGACGAACGCACACCCGACCGACGAACGCACACCCGACCGACGATCGCACACCCGACCGACGAACGCACACCCGACCGACGAACGCACACCCGACCGATGAACGCACACCCGACTGACGAACGCACACCCGACCGATGAACGCACACCCGACCGATGAACGCACACCCGACCGATGAACGCACACCCGACCGATGAACGCACACCCGACCGATGAACGCACACCCGACCGATGAACGCACACCCGACCGATGAACGCACACCCGACCGATGAACGCACACCCGACCGATGAACGCACACCCGACCGATGAACGCACACCCGACCGATGAACGCACACCCGACCGATGAACGCACACCCGACCGATGAACGCACACCCGACCGATGAACACACACCCGACCGATGAACACACACCCGACCGATGAACACACACCCGACTGATGAACACACACCCGACCGATGAACACACACCCGACCGATGAACACACACCCGACCGATGAACACACACCCGACTGATGAACACACACCCGACCGATGAACACACACCCGACCGATGAACACACACCCGACCGATGAACACACACCCGACCGATGAACACACACCCGACCGATGAACGCACACCCGACCGATGAACGCACACCCGACCGATGAACGCACACCCGACCGATGAACGCACACCCGACCGATGAACACACACCCGACCGATGAACACACACCCGACCGATGAACACACACCCGACCGATGAACACACACCCGACCGATGAACACACACCCGACCGAAGAACACACACCCGACCGATGAACGCACACCCGACCGATGAACGCACACCCGACCGATGAACGCACACCCGACCGATGAACGCACACCCGACCGATGAACGCACACCCGACCGATGAACACACACCCGACCGATGAACACACACCCGACCGATGAACACACACCCGACCGATGAACACACACCCGACCGATGAACACACACCCGACCGATGAACGCACACCCGACCGATGAACGCACACCCGACCGATGAACGCACACCCGACCGATGAACGCACACCCGACCGATGAACGCACACCCGACCGATGAACACACACCCGACCGATGAACACACACCCGACCGATGAACACACACCCGACCGATGAACACACACCCGACCGATGAACACACACCCGACCGATGAACGCACACCCGACCGATGAACGCACACCCGACCGATGAACACACACCCGACCGATGAACACACACCCGACTGATGAACACACACCCGACCGATGAACACACACCCGACCGATGAACACACACCCGACTGATGAACACTGAAGCGTCCTGATGAACACACACACATGGTCACATGACACACAACAGATCAATCAGCTTCAGAAATTGTTTACACTGATTTGATCCCGTGAGAAAGAGGAGTGTCATGATACGACACACATGAAACATGGAGATCATTGAGAAATATCACACACACACACACACACACACACACACAGTCTGTACTCACTCCAGTAAGTGCACAGGCACATAATAGTCCCACTCCATGACTTCGAGCTTCACAGCAACTCATGAGCGGCTCAAACTCTCTCAGTCTCGTCAGCGGCGGATCATGGAAGTGAAAGAGAGGAACACACACACACTCTCTCTCTCACTGTAAGAGTGTGTGTATGTGTGTGTGTGTGTGTCTCGGACACCATGAGGAAGAGCTGAAGTGATGGCGGGGAGAGTCACTAATAGCGAAGGCACATGGAGAACTGAAACAGGAACATCGACTGACAGGGAAACACAGGGCTAATCAAGCTAACGAGAGCGCACACACTGGGGAAACTACAACCTGACTACAGAACGGCACACAGCAGAACTCTGGGAATAAAGTCCATTCATGCTTTCATGTTCATCTGAAACCTCGACTCTCGAGCGGACACTATATAGACGAATCCGGCGAAACTACCGGAAGTAAGCGGGCGCCATTACTGAGCTGTTGCTGGGTAGCGTTGCGCCATTGCCTCCTATTGTTTTAGTTGCAACTTGCGTCCACTGGAATAAACAGCCCGCGATTTACGACTGTCACTAACGTTACAACGTTACCCCTTGTATAATGTCGAGTGGGTAAACAGTTTCGTTATAAATTGTTTCAATGGTGGCAGTAAAATTTCAATTTTGAAGAGAAAACACTGTGAATACCCCGGGTCGAGTGCCCCTGTCTGGTGCCGTACGGTTTACAGATTTCCTGGGCGAGTACAAGACGTGGACATTCGCGTATAATAACAATTATTTAATGACATAAGTAAAAAAAATATAATAAATATGTGATATAGTGATCAGCAAAATCTCCTCTCTTGTTATTTTTTCTATTAAATTAACATGCTATGGTCATTAAATGGCTTTCCTGAGCTAAATGTAACGTTATGTGACATAATTGTTCTCCCGCTGTTATATTGACCTCTTTCCATGGTTTAAAAACACTAATTGGTCGATATTATGTATACTTTCTAGCTGTAACGTTACCTTACCCTTGCCCGTTGCAATGTGAAAATGAGATAAATAATGGACACAAATGAAAAACATGAATTTGTTTATTTGATTTCATTCATTTATTTATTTATTGTTGCCAAATGGACAGATCTTTTTATAGTTTGCTCGTTAGCAAACGTTAGCCTAGCTAGCTTGCCAAGCTATTTTCATAAATAACGTTAATCTGTAAGATCGTTTGTACCTTCATCTGTGACTGGAGGCCACTGCAGTCACAGATCAAACCAACAAGTCATTCTGCCTGGCTGTAGCTGTCATCGAGGGTGAGTTCGCGTTATCACCGAGGTTTGTTTACATACCGGTGCATATGTCTATATGCCTGTGTAACAGCTCAGTAATGGCGTCGCCACAAGATGGCAGCCTACACAGAACGCTCGTCGGATTCGTCTATACAGAACAATTCCTTCACGACTGCTAAAAAATCCCTTATGAGTGTGATCTGGACGTACTCATGATGCCATGATCATGTGATCTAGTGTCAGCTGCGTCTCAAAGCCTCTCCCGTGGGATCATGGGATAGTAAAGTGTCCATCACATACTCACAGGTCGTAGTTCATCATCAGGAGTTTTACTAGTTCTGGGAATTCTGACATAATTCTTTGGTCTGTTTCCGCAGCGAGTGTGTGATTCCAGACGCACGCTTTCGTGAAACAGAAAAATGACAAACTAATTTCATAGTTAAGAAACAAAAATTCTAAATTGACATACCAAGTCAAATATTTGTGACATGAAAAGTCAAAAATTCATAAGATAAAAAAAAAGTCGAGCGTGTGTGTGTGTGTGTTGTTTTTCCTCGTCTGCCATTAAAGGCTGGACTAAACCAGTCTCTCGTGTCAGTGACTCTTTGCACCTTATAAACATTGGCGATAATTATAACTTACTTTGTCAATTTCATATTATTATTTCATAATTATAACTATTTCATAATTTCATGATGTATGTTTGTTCTGTGGCGGATGGGCTCCTGTGCGCATGACCCTTGAAGAGACTTGCTGAAGCGAGACCATAAACGAGATCATAACACGTCTATGAATGAGCTGCACAGAATCGATCATAAACATGAATGGATCAAAAAGCACAAAACACCTAAAGTTACTACACACACACACACATCCAGCATGCGGACAAAACTACTCATTACAACCCAAAGACAATGTGACACAAACACACTCACAGAGAGAGAGAGAGACTCACTGACACTCGTGCGCGTGCTCTCTCTCTCTCACACACACACACACACACACACACACACACACACACACTCTCAGACACACACACTATTGTAAATAGAGTTAAAGAATGGACTCGAGTCCTGGTGTTGTGCCGAATTTCGACCCCTGCCAAATTATTACCCCCCTAGTATTGGTAGGTTTAGGATTAGTTGGGGGAGGGGTTAGGATTAGGGCGGGGTTAGGATTAGTTTGGGGGAGGGGTTAGGATTAGGGGCGGGGTCAGGATTAGGCAATCAGGTACTGACTTCAACGAGGGGGGTAATAATTTGGCAGGGAATCAAAATTCTGCAAAACACAGGCGCACCGAACCTGCCGGCAACAAGAGAACACGGATTATACAACACACTGCACTGGGATCAATTAAAGGTACAATATGCAGGATTGTTTCGCCACCAGGGGTCGCTAACCTCTTACAATAACAAAGGCGTATATTAATGACTTATATTCTTGTCGTCAAGCTGATGGATCTTTTACGGACCAGTAAATACATCGATGGTTTTACCATGACTGTGGTATGAAGCAGAGCGCGATTGCTAGACGTGTACCAGCGCTACACACAACGTCAGTCCCGCGGATATGAAGGAATAAGGACGTTTCATTCTACCGAACTACACGCAAGTGCTGAATTACTCACACAGGTCCGTTTATTAGAGGAATTAAACTTGAGGTAACACTATCACACTAAACGGCATTTGAGTGTGTTGAATGCTAGTTAGTTAGGTCGTGTGTTGGCTGAATGAGACTAAGCTAGATCAACATTAGAATAACATACAGATCATATTCTAACTTTTTATCATGTTGAACTATATAACATTGATTAGTTTTTTATACATTGATTTGCTCACCTGTTTGTTCAAGCAACATGTAACACTCGCGTCTCTGTCAAGCTGAAGTTAGCCACGGACGTGGAGCTCTCGGCATCTGGAAAGATGTTGATCTTCGTTCTAGTCCGCTTTTTGTCGCATGCTCTGCTTCGTATGTCGTATGCTCTCCATCATGTTTGAACAAAACCCTGCTAGGGATTTACAAAACAAAACCCTGCTGAGCTCGCATAACGGGCATAACCGACCCAGTTGTCCACGTGTGTCACCATGGTTACTATTGGAGTACGAGGTCAAACCTGGCGGAAACCGAGGGTAACGTTGATATGACGTCATTGACTGGCGACTCCCGGCTCACACGCCCCATTTCCTTTGTTAAAAATCACAATTTTCTCACGATTTACAAATAGTTGGAAACATTTGGGATATTGTACTTAATCAACTAAACAAAATATATAGACCTTTTGTAGCCCCACCCCTTTTCAGCGCTTCGCTCGTTGTCTTGCCTATTTATGAATGAACGGCCCATTTTAAAATCTTCCCGGTCTACATTTGTTAAGACATCTGCTTTAAACATTACAATCCTCATGATAACTGTTAATTTTACATTAAGTAAATCCACTTCAAAAGCTAATTACTCCTGGACAGCAATGCCATAGAGATATACAGAGCGACCGCAAAAACGGAAGTTCAAAGACAATATTCTAAAGATAGCGGCGCCCTTGTTTCTCTGGTGCATAAGGTCTATATTGGCCTAGTGGTTTTGGGATATTTTACTGCAAAAATCCTGCATATTGTACCTTTAATGGCTTTTTTAAATAATATTACCAGTTCCAGCGTGGTGGTGGTGCAGTGGATAAGAAGACACATGCCTTTGGTGTTAGAGACCCGGGTTTGAATCCACCAATGTGTCCCTCCCTTGCTTTTCTTTACTTGAGCAATTGTAAGTCGCTTTGGATAAAAGCGTCAGCTAAATGTAAATGTAAGTTCCATATTATCTTTATAAAAAAATAAATAAGACAATACATGATTTTATTTTTTAAATTATACTGCATTCTTATCAATTTCTAAATGTTTACTTTTTGATTCAAGAATTATAACAGACTGATGGGAAAACAACATTATTTTGCTTAATATATTATTTTCATTATTGTATTACTTTTTGATTAGTTTAATTATTATTTTCAAATTTCTTGCTTTTTAATATAGTTGCAATTTTTATACATTTTAACTTTTAAAAGGTTTACACCACCACCACCATCTTCTGTTATATGTGGGCCATGCTCCTGTACAGTATATGATATTGATGGAGGGGGAGGGGGGCCCACATCAATCCACACACACACACACCTAGAGGACTTTGCGCTGTGGATGTTGCAGTGTCTGATCTCATAACTTACCTTTATCGATTCTAAACTTCCTTCAGCTGAATTGATTTAATATTTTCCACATTCCCTAACTATGAATCCACACAGAGCGCGCGCAAGACTCATTAACGGAGTTTTATTCATTTCTATCACTGATTAACTCGAATCACCTGCAGCTGCAGGTGTGTCAAACTCTCAAGGACATAAAGACGAACACAACAAACATGAAAAGAGTGGAAAATATTCTGGAATATAATAATAAAAAAAAACACTGGTAATTCACTACGTCAAGTTTAAAATGTGAATAAACTCACCGTTTCTCTCCTCAGCAGCTGATGTGAGGTAAATCTTCGCGTTTCTTTACTTGAGGTTTTTGGTCGAGTTTGGCTACTTCTCTCGGTGTGTGTTATATTAACATGACATTCATTATTTAAAGTTTTAGTTTAATTAAGTTTAATCGAGTTTATCGAGGTTTAATTCGTGTCTCGAGTTTCGCGTCAGTCTGCCTCTGCCGCGCGCGCACATCTGAGCGTGTGCACGAGGGAAGCGCGAGTCCAGCGGAACGTATTTGCAAGATAATTAATTTAAACGACCAGTTTTTTTTATCCAACTCTCTTTTTTAACCTACACAAGATTTTTTTTTTGCTCACAAGAAAAAAATATGATTGTAATCTTCAATCTGACAAATGATAAAACGACAAATTATTAATACATCTACAGATTAAACGGATAAACAATAATATTTTTCAAAATATGTACAAGTGAAGTGACTTCTAATCAAACAGTGTATAATCATCATTGAAACTAAACAAATGTATTTATCTGAACAGAGAACACAATATAACCATCTCTAGCAGCAAATAATCAACAGAGTTATTATTATTATTATTATGAGCAGATCTGATACAGATCTCTGACCTGACCACTGTAAAGCTCTGACGAGTGTGAGTGCTGTGATGCACGTCTTTACTGTCATTAGTTGTGGTTAAATATGACATAAGGGTCTTAATTGAATATGAGAAATATTAATAAATGTGCAGCAATTAACAGAGGGATGTCTGCGGTTTCTAGAACACACTTAAACATGTTTAGCTGTAAACAGTGTGTGTGTGTGTAGAGTACATACTCTAGATACAGGTCTGTTGTGACACACACACACTTTTCTACATTCGTAACTTTTTTATAACTGAAATGAAGCTTCACTGAAGCTGGACTGTGACGCTATTTTCATCTAGAAACAAACTTTGTCGCATTATTCTCCTATTAACTCTGTAAAGCTGCTTTGAAACATTCTGTGTTAATAAAGGTGACTTGACTTAAATGTCAAAGCATTTAGTATTGTTCATCGAATCTTATTTGATTTCCTTCGTACTGATACTTTCTGCAGGTGTCTGTTTGCAAAACACAAGCCGTAAACCTTAAACAACCCACAGCGTATCTACTGATATTTTGAGACTGTCTTTGGTGTGTGTTGAAGTGTATTAAAAACACCACACACACACAAACAACATTAAACGCTGGGTTTACACCACAGGAGGACTTTAACAAAGCTGCTAACCACGTGAGAGACGAGGCACAGAGAGCTTTATGCTATTGAGAGAAATACCCAGATGACATGAACAGAGCCAGAGAGAACCCTCGGCCGATCGGAGTTAGAGCTCGCGGCACAAAGCAAATCACTAAAACACAAAAAGAGAAATGCCGAAAGCACTGGACAGACGAAACAGACGAACATTCGGATGCTGTTTGGCCTTAAACAAAGAATATGAATTGACAGAATACTTGAGGAAACTGAGTACAGACTCAGTGAACCCACACACACACACACACACACACACACACACACACACACTGCTCATCGCATCTCTTCTGCACAGAGAACAAAGACAAAAGCGGTTGTCATGGCGACGGCTGTGTCTCTGTGAGGCGTTTGTTCACGGAGCCTCTCGTGTGTCCGTCCCGTCCAGCGGGTCCGCATGAGGAACAGCGCCAGCACACAGACCCGGCCTGGTGGAGGACGAGCAGTGCGCGCACACACACACACACACACACACACACAGCTTCAGGAGATGTGCAAAAAAGGAACTTAAGACGTAATGTATTTGTCAGATTTTAATAAAGCACACAGCAGGCTCTGGTTCAGCAGAGATGGAGAACAGTGATTAATATCGCTCCGCAAAACACACTTCATTTGCTTCCTTCCATTCACAGGTTCTGCTGGCGACCGTGTGTCCAGACCGTACGCCGCTAGCCCGACGCGACTCCGCACTCACACTGATACAGTCACATGATCAGTTTATGCATGTTTAGTTGTGCATGTATTGTCTGGATAGATGTATTAAAACTTGAAATCATAAACATTGATCAGCAAACAAACAAGAGTTCACCGTGTGTGTGTGTGTGTGTGTGTGTGTGTGTGTGTGTGAGTAAAGCCTCGGGTACCCCAGGTGGAGATGTAGAGTGACGAGTGTCTCCAGAAGTCTTGGATTAAAGGGTTTATTTCAGCATCTCTTTATGAAGGGTCAGAGTTCAGGCTGAACACACACTCAATGGAGGGACAGAAATCTCGGACTCATTAAAATCATCTTCATTTGTTCTGAAGACGAGCGACTCGTGGGTTTGAAGGACACGAGGAAGAGCAAAAGATGAGGGCTTGAGTGTGTGTGTGTTTGATCTGAAGACTAACGCAACATCTGTAATGATCAGTGTTGGATCTGCAGTGCGAATCTACGTCAGAATGACGTTGACCTCGGCTACCTTCGTGGCGGGGCGTCTGGGTTTGCTCTCGCGCGTGTGGACCCTGGTGTGGTTCTTGAGTTTAGCGGCGCTAACGAAGGCTTTGGGACAGTATCCGCAGGCGAAGGGCCGCTGGTCGGAGTGCGTGCGCCGGTGTCGTGCTAACTCCGACGAGCTACGGAACCGACGCGGGCACGCGGCGCAGGAGAACGGCCTCTCGCCGGTGTGTGTGCGCTCGTGGAGCGCTAGCTCAGCACCGGTGAGGAACGTGCGCTCGCAGTGTGCGCAGGCGTAGGGCCGCTCGCCTGTGTGGATCAGGTGGTGTCGGTTCAGCGCGAAGGCCTTAGCGAACATCTTCCCGCAGTAGTGGCAGGGGAACGGGCGCGCGCCGCTGTGCGCTAGCAGATGCTCCTGTAGCGAACGCTTGAACTTGAAGGCTTTGTTACACTGCGGGCAGGCGTGCGGGCGCGCGTCGGCGTGCGTCTTGTCGTGTTTGATGAGCTCGCCGAGCGAGAGGAAGCGTTTGCCGCAGTGTGAGCACAGGTAAGGTCTCTCGCCCGTGTGCATGCGCTCGTGACGCCGCAGGATCGAGACCTGCGTGAAGCTCTTGCTACAGTGCGGACACGCGAACGGGCGCTCGCCGGTGTGTGTGCTCATGTGTTTCTGGAGCCCGGAGCGAAGCCCGAAGCGTTTCCCGCAGAGCGAACACTGATGCGGGCGCTCGCCGGTGTGCGTTAGCTGGTGGCGCCTCACGTCGCTGCGCCGCGTGAAGGTTTTCTCGCACTGCGGGCACTTGAACTGGCAGCGTCTGCGGTGGCTCTGCCGGTGAGCGGATCTCAGGATCAGTGTGTCGAAGCCCTCGCCGCACTGCTCGCAGCGGTAGGTGTGTGTGGCGCTGTGGCTCCGCCGGTGTGTAGCGAGTGCGGCAGGATTAGCGCTAGCGTCTCCGCAGATGGAGCAGTAGTGCGGCGGCTCGCCTGTGTGGCTCCTCTTGTGGTGCGCCGTTAGCTCGCGCAGGTTAGCGAAGGCGCTCTGGCACTCGCGGCAGGTGAAGCTAGCCTCGCCGTGGATCTTGCGGCAGTGTTTGGTCAAGTCCCAGGCGTGCTGGAAGGTCTTCTGGCACTGCGCGCAGTGGAACGGGCGCTCGCCGGTGTGTGTGAGCTGGTGCCGCTGCACGTCGGAGCGCCGCGTGAACTTGCGCCCGCAGGTGGAGCAGGCGTGACGAGCGCGAGGGTTGTCGGCGGCCTCCGGCTCGGCTCCGCGGGTTCTCCGTGCGCGGGACGGGCCGCTGGAAGCTTCTGGATCATCAGAGGCGTCTGTGAGGAACATCAGAGAGAAATTCTGACATGGCATTCTAGTGCGGTCGAAAGTACCAACTTCGGGACTGACATTTTAAAAATGTGAGGAATTATAAACACTTCTGATTGGCCGTTGTGTTCTCGCACTCATCGGATATGTCTGTGATTGGCTACATCTAAAGCCTAGTTCACACTACATGATTTTAAAATGTTGGGCTGAACTGTGCAGTTCACATTACATGACTTGCTCTCAGTGAAATCATGAGTGTTCAAGTTGTTTAGCTGTTCACACCACACAACACAACGTGATTGATCCACAACAGGAGGTAACTCACTACACGAGTTAACAACGCACTGCATAGAGATACAACCACGATCGGATGATAAGAGCATATCATTTGTGACTCAATGAGAGCTGTTTCAGTACTATAATACGGTCTAAATCCTGAAAATAATCAACCAAATAACGAGTTGACAACAACACGATTCTATCTGGTCTAGAAACCATGTTTTGTCACGAAAAACCACGCAATAAAACGAACCAGAAATGACGCGAAACTGCAGAGAAGAACACAACACGCGAATATGGACGTCAGACAGAAACTAGTGCTGCACACTGTTTGCTCGACGATCTGCTCTGAGAAAAAAAATGCAAAAAGAAAAAGTAAGATTTACCTGGTGTCCTCAACCCATGCGTTGCTATGATTGGCTGTACTCATGACATCACTGAGATTGAGTCGCGCGACTGCGCGAGATATCTAGCATGCTAGATATTTTTCTGAGCTCGGTGACCTGTCTGCGAGCTGTCTGCGAGCTGTCTTTGATGCGTTGTTGGCTCTTTCACACTAACTGATTGGCGAGCGTTAATCGTCCGCTAATCGCCCGCGATTTGCACGCGATAACACCCTGACTTGTCGGCGACTCAACGATTTGCAAATCGGGCTTAAATCGGGCTTAAAATCACGTAGTGTGAACTAGGCTTAATCAAGCCCCTGTTATAATCATTACTGGAGTTTGTGATTGGTTTATCACAGCGATCTGGTCTTGTTCTCGACTGACTGATGTCATTCTTCACTAGTAGCTTGAGCGGTAAATCATTTTAATCTAGTAAAAGCACAGCTCTCTCACCTTTACGGTCCCCATGTGGTGTGACGGCACTCCTGAAACAGACAAAATATTTACAATTAATCATTTAGCAGACGCTTTCATCCAAAGCAAACAATAGAACCAGGAGAACGAACAATAGGACAACAATTTATTGTTTTTAATAGCTATAGAAGAGAAAATAAGTGTTAATGGAAGCAAGAATAGTATTAAAATGCAAGACTATCTTGAATGAATGTTTGTGAGTGTTAGCGTCTCGCGTCACGCACCGCTGCTCCGGGCCGGCCGCCGCCGGGCCTTCTGGGGTTTTTACGCCCGTGGACTCTGGAGTTTTCCTCGGCCTTCCTCGCCCTCTCCGCACCGGGGGCTTCTGGGTGACGTCTGACACGGGCGCCGGGGCTTCCTGCGGTGTTATGATGTCACGTCCTGCGTCAGGCGTGTGTGTGTGGTGCTCAGGGTCCGGCGGGACGGGCCGGTCCTCCTGCAGCCCGGCGTCGGGCGTCTCGGCAGGGAGGAGAGCAGGCTCTTCAGTCGCTGGAGCCTCGTCCTCCATCAGCTCCACCTCCTCCATCTTCATCACCTCTTCCTCGTGGCTGCTCAGCTCCACCTCGGTGTAGTCGGTGATGATGATGGAGTCGGGCTGGACGAACAGCACCTGATCCGAGGCCAGATCCGCTCGAGCCGACGGAGGGACTGAGAGCGAGGACACGATGCAGTCGCCGGAGGAGCGCGGAGCAGCGCCTGAGAGAGAACACACACTATCTGTGAGACAAACCCGGAGAGTTTATGATTATGATAGTAAACTAATATAAATTTGCAACATAGGCCTGCGTCTGTACGCCTTAAACTACTGCAGTTACAGATGATGGAGTCTCGGCGCGTGCTATAATACACTGATCTACAAATGCACACATAACAGAGAAGTGTGTAGTTGCCTGTGTGCCAGCTGTGTGTGTCTGCGCTGAAGAGCCGGTGCTGCTGCAGGAGGAGCCGCAGGTCGCTCGGGTCGCTGCGCATGCAGTCCTCCAGGCCAGCGGGGGCAGGAGAGAGCCACGACACCGTCTGCAGCGACAGAGGGAGAAAATGAACAAACGCTTGGTGTCATTTCAAACCAAATCACAGAATCGCTGAACAGGCCGGACGCACAACATGGGCTCAGTTTGGGGTGGAAAGAAAGTGTTTAAAGTCACAGTGAAATTACAATGGACAATTATAGTTGTTATTTTATTGGTTATTGCAGTTTATTGGGAATGATTCATCGGTGCGCATCATCATTAGTGTCAATAATCTTGAATCAGAATCAGTTCCTCTTCAGCATCTCTTCTCTGATGATGTGGGCGGGGCTATAACCTGTCACTCACATGAGATCAGCCAATAGCAAACCACAACCATCCAATCAGTTCCCCACAGACACAATCAAGCCCCGCCCACACTTGCTCTCGTTCCTGATTCGCTTCTCTCGATATACGACACAACAGAGGAGAAGAGACCAGCGGAACTTCCCTTTCCTGTCGTCTTTAAAATAAGTTTGAAAGCTTTTCCCAAGATTTAATATCTGCTTATAGCTGTGTCTAAGAAAGAGTGTGCACCTTCTTCAAGTCCGGCACAGGAAGCAGTTTCTCCAGGCTGGAGAGCAGATCCCACATCACTTCCTTTAGCACCGTGTCGAACCCATCGCCATATTGAACAGGAAACACTTCCTGTGTGAGAGACACAGACAGGATGTTCTCACACACACACACACACACACACACAGATCAGTGAAGGATGAAGCGGATGTGTGTCTAACCTGGAAGAAATAAGCTTTCTCAACCGGGTCTTTCAGCAGCGCCAGAACCAAAGCTTTGAAATTAGTGACGCAGGTTCTCAGATCAGCATCAGGAGCCTGAACACACACCACACAACACCGTCATTACTGACCAGACCAGAACACACACCACACAACACCACCATTACTGACCAGGGGCCGTATTCACAAAGAATTTTAAGGCTAAGGCAGTGTGTCCACCAAAGCGTTTGTATCCAGCTGAAGACGCTAGCCGCTGTGCTGATGACGCCGTGCTTTGGGCGCTTGAGAGCGTTTTGGCAGCGCAGCGTTTTTTCCGTTGAGATGTTTCGTTGCTATGATACTGAATATATGCAGCAGTTTGAATGTTGTGACAGTTGGTCGGTGTGGTTTAGTCCCGCCCCTCCTCCACTGTGATTGGACGGCTGGGTAAAATGTGACAGTGATGAGCACTGCGTTTTATCCAAAGTTGAACATTTTTCAACTCCCAGCGACCAGTAAAAACACTGGGCGCTCGGCGTGAAAAAAACCGATCAGCGCCTCGGTACGCTCATGCCGTTTAAAAAACGCGGCGCTCCCATTGAAATCATACGGAAAAACGCTTTGGTGGACACACTGCACTGATCTGCACACAAATCTTCTCCCATTCTCACGCTAAGTTTTGCTTGATATCCCAGTGCCGAATTTCTTTTCTTCTTTTTATTATATTTTTATTTTTATTTTTTCAGCACCATCTGGGTCAGCAGCAGTCACCGATCCTGCGTCCAGTCGGGCTTTCTTTTCCGTTTTGGCGAGTTCATACCCAACTATTACATTACTTCAATAGCATCATTTCTTTGCTTTAAGTAGTCTAGTTAGGCTAATAGGATGTCAATTAGCCAAGCAAGTGTTAACGCAAGCGTCGTTTTTCATTATTAGGCGAGTGGAGGTTTTCATTAGGGTATTAATAGGCACCATTCAAGGCGCGCCGCGTTCTCCTTTTCCCGAAGGTTGGTGACCTACGGTGCGCTCCATACGGACACGCTTGGAAAAAACGAGCGCACACTGCGTGCCTACATTTAAAATAACGAACTTGAGAGTGCAAAAGACGCGATATGTGAACACTGCAGGCCCTTAGGCTACCTTAATTTAATTTAATTGACGACTTGTCTCTCTCTCTGCCTTTTTAGAATTACACTTCACTGCACAAACATGTCATTATATTTGCATTTCGATGACATTACTATTATTATTTTGTGTTGGGCTTAGACATGTTTAGATGTCGTAATTCCATGATTTGTTGTGTTATGTTCGACATGATGGCCCTGTCATCGAACAGCCAATCACCGTGATCATTGCGAGGAAGCTCGTGTGTGAGAACTGACGTCATCCAGAGCAACGAAGGCTCACTCTTACTTTAGGAGTTGTCATTTTTCCTTTCTAAGATCAGGTCTGCAAGGCGTTGAGAATAACTTTTAAGAGGAAACTCCTAGCTAAAATATCTTATTGTGATTTAGGAGTACTCCTAGTGGTAAGATAAAATTCTTTGTGTATACGGGCCCTGACCAGAGAAAACATGACCTGCAGAATCTCTCTCATATCTGATGAAGTTTGCTTCTGTTTATTACTGTGAAGCTGCTCTGAAAACATCTGTACTGTATAAAGCTGTACTATACAAGGTTAGTGTATAGGGTTAGTGTATAGGGTTAGTGTATAGGGTGAGTGTATAGTATATAGGGTTAGTGTATAGGGTTAGTGTATAGGGTTAGTGTATAGGGTGAGTGTATAGGGTGAGTGTATAGTATATAGGGTTAGTGTATAGGGTTAGTGTATAGGGTTAGTGTATAGGGTGAGTGTATAGGGTGAGTGTATAGTATATAGGGTTAGTGTATAGGGTTAGTGTATAGGGTTAGTGTATAGTATATAGGGTTAGTATATAGGGTTAGTGTATAGGGTTAGTGTATAGGGTGAGTGTATAGGGTGAGTGTATAGGGTGAGTGTATAGGGTTAGTGTATAGGGTGAGTGTATAGTATATAGGGTTAGTATATAGGGTTAGTGTATAGAGTTAGTGTATAGGGTTAGTGTATAGGGTGAGTGTATAGTATATAGGGTTAGTGTATAGGGTTAGTGTATAGGGTTAGTGTATAGTATATAGGGTTAGTATATAGGGTTAGTGTATAGGGTTAGTGTATAGGGTGAGTGTATAGGGTGAGTGTATAGGGTGAGTGTATAGGGTTAGTGTATAGGGTGAGTGTATAGGGTGAGTGTATAGTATATAGGGTTAGTATATAGGGTTAGTGTATAGGGTTAGTGTATAGGGTTAGTGTATAGGGTGAGTGTATAGGGTGAGTGTATAGTATATAGGGTTAGTGTATAGGGTTAGTGTATAGGGTTAGTGTATAGTATATAGGGTTAGTATATAGGGTTAGTGTATAGGGTTAGTGTATAGGGTGAGTGTATAGGGTGAGTGTATAGGGTGAGTGTATAGTATATAGGGTTAGTGTATAGGGTTAGTGTATAGGGTTAGTGTATAGGGTGAGTGTATAGTATATAGGGTTAGTGTATAGGATTAGTGTATAGGATGAGTGTATAGTATATAGGGTTAGTATATAGGGTTAGTGTATAGGGTTAGTGTATAGGGTTAGTGTATAGGGTGAGTGTATAGGGTGAGTGTATAGTATATAGGGTTAGTGTATAGGGTTAGTGTATAGGGTTAGTGTATAGTATATAGGGTTAGTATATAGGGTTAGTGTATAGGGTTAGTGTATAGGGTGAGTGTATAGGGTGAGTGTATAGGGTGAGTGTATAGGGTTAGTGTATAGGGTGAGTGTATAGGGTGAGTGTATAGTATATAGGGTTAGTGTATAGGGTTAGTGTATAGGGTTAGTGTATAGGGTTAGTGTATAGGGTGAGTGTATAGGGTGAGTGTATAGTATATAGGGTTAGTGTATAGGGTTAGTGTATAGGGTTAGTGTATAGTATATAGGGTTAGTGTATAGGGTTAGTGTATAGGGTTAGTGTATAGGGTTAGTGTATAGGGTTAGTGTATAGGGTTAGTGTATAGTATATAGGGTTAGTATATAGGGTTAGTGTATAGGGTTAGTGTATAGGGTGAGTGTATAGGGTGAGTGTATAGGGTGAGTGTATAGTATATAGGGTTAGTGTATAGGGTTAGTGTATAGGGTTAGTGTATAGGGTGAGTGTATAGTATATAGGGTTAGTGTATAGGATTAGTGTATAGGATGAGTGTATAGTATATAGGGTTAGTCGTGTACCGGCTGTCCAGGCGTCGTGTCTGGAAGATGGAGTTTGTCCAGATGAGCCTGAATGTTCCTGAGATCCACCGGACCGCGACACAACTCCAGAACCATCTTCAACAACACAACACACGGAGTCAGACACAGTCACACACACACACACAGAGTCAGACACACACACACACACACACACACACACAGAGTCAGACACACGCAATCAGAGACACAGTCAGACTCGCAGTCACACACACACACACACACACACTGTGTGACACTGACCCGCGCTCTCAGGCCCAGCATCAGCTGTGTTCTCCGTCTGTATCCCAGCACCTGCGGCAGCGTCTCCGTCACCATCGACACAAACTCCTCCAGCTTCCCATAATGCACCAGGCTCTTCTGCTGCAGCACCTGCCACATGAAGGCAGACATGAGGTGTAGAGGAGGAACCAGCAAACGCAGAGACGCCAGGGGGAGCCCGCCTGCGGACACACACATTCAGAATCAGACACACACACACACACACACACACACAGTGTTAAAACTTCACAAAGAGAAATATTAACTTTGATGTGTTGTCAATTACAGGAGAGCCAGAACAGGATCACAGTCAGAGAAATCTGATAACAAAAGTGTCCAGAATACAGATACACAACAACAGGTCCAAGATTACAAAAAGGACAATGTAGAAGACAGAGCAGTTAAGATTTTAATAGACAAACAAACGTTTTGAGTCACGTACTCCCTGCAAGTATAACACACACACACACACACACACACACACACACACACAGCCGGTCTGCGCTGATTAGCGCAACAATGATCGTCTTTAATGATCCGTCAGTGAAACTGCACGCGCTGCTCCTCGATGTAATACTGCCGCTGTTTGAATGAAGAATCATCGCGACTCTGACCTTTAGTTTCAGTAAAATCAGCTCTTTGTGATTTATTTACCCGTGTTTGTGATTTCAGCGCCGTTTTCTTCGTCCATAAGGAACGATGTTGAAGCTTTTCAGTGCGTTAGGCTCCGTGCGTGACGTCACATCCGGTCTGAAATACATAAAATAAAAGCGCTGCGATGCGTCAAAACGGCGCAAGAGTCTTTTTAACATCAATTTTAATATTAGTAATAATAATAATAACGAGAAGAAGATGAGGTTTTATATATTTTTAATACTTTTAAATACTTTTTTTAATTGTAAAGAACTTTTGTGTGGGCAACAAAGCTGTTATATTATAATATAAGTCAATAAAAGATGAAGAAAAAGGAGTATACACCAAAGAATGTGTGTGTGTGTGTGTGTGTGTGTGTGTGTGTGTGTGTGTGTCTCACATGATACGCGTGTAAACAACCCACATTACTGTTTTTGTGTGTGAAGAGAATCCTCGGTTTCTTTTCTTACATTTATTTATTTCTACGGCTATACTGGCATCTAGTGGCGACACTAGTATTACATGCATTGCACTTCAAACACATTTGCTGTTAAGTGTTAACACTGTATTAATGGAAAATAAAATGAGATGTTTTACATAAAATTTTTAAGGAATTTATATAGAAATATACTCTGCATAATTTAAAGGCGAACGTGTATTCCTACACTTCAAATTACATGTTAGTTATAAAACGTTACAGATCCGTTTATATACAATTTAAATCCATATATATTTACAGTCTCGTTAATTCAAGCTTCATGTCCGTCCAGATAACAAGCACATATCTCATAGACTGTAAAAGGTATTTCTATATGATTATTTATGACGCATACATGTTGACATATTGTTAGAGAAGAGTGTGTCGCCCTCTAGCGCTGCGCATGCGTAACTGCAGCATCAACCACCAAAACATACGCGCACTCGTCACACTCTCATGAGTTCACCGCTTTATTTATTTCACTGATTTATCACCCGAATGTATTTGTAATAAAATAAAATAAAACTTTGAAGTAACCAGCCAGTGCCAATTCTCTTCAATTAGAGATTCTCTGGTAAGGATTTGGTAAGGGATTCTAATGTCGGTCGCCATGTTGCCCCTCCATCTTGAAAGTACATTAGCCAAAGAGGGACAATTAAAGCTTCGCCTTTCGCGTTTACGTTTGACTTAACACTCATGGACGAGGTCGAACTGGAAGCCATGTTAATCTTGGACTACATTGGCCACCGTAGGAGTTAAAACGAAATCGGAATTGAGAGGAACAGAAACTAATATTCACTAGATGACCATATATCTTTTCACCGCTAGATGGGGGTAAAATCACACAATATGGCTTTAAACACGTTGTTAAGAAATGTCATCACTTCTAATAGCAATGTAATTATTACATCTTATGGAAGATTGTCTGAACTTTACCCGAGTGTTGATTTTCGTATTTACGAATGTATTTCGTAGACAGTCTTTTTCACTTTCTTATGTTTGTAAAATTGAAAATAATATGAAATGTGTTTGGCTAGTATTTGTATTAGCCCATTTTATATATAAATGAAGGGTGCATAACATATTTATAAATGTACAAATAGTATTTCTAATATTAAATATCTTCAAAAACACACTGGCATCTTAATAATGCCTGGCCGACCTAACCCTAACGCAGATTCATTGATTTTCATATATTTTCTACATATTTTCTGTAGTTATTAAACTAATTTAGTGCGCGTTCGGGGACTTTTATTTTGTAAACGCTCTCTCGCGGCTTCCGGCTTCACAGAGCAGCTGCAGCAGCACGAGGACATCATCCTCATCCTCATCATGGCTCCAGGAGGGAGAATAAACAGACCCAAAACCGTGAGTTTCTTCATCAGTGGGACTGAGTTCTGCTGATGAGTGTGTGTGTGTGTGTGTGTGTGTCGTGTTTTATCTCGTGATGAACCGGAATGATGAAGCACGTGCTCCTCCTCTGCGCTATTATTGGTTGCTTCACTAAAACTTGAAACACAACAAACGAGAGAAGAAAAACTAGAAAGATTATAATAAATCATCGGTATTATTATTATTATTATTAAGATAATGAATACAAATAAGCCTCATATGAAGAAAGGTTTTACTCTCGTTCTTGATTTTATTTACAAGGATAATTTACAGATCTGTATTAGATGTTGAATGATCAGTTTAGACTGTAATGTAAATGTGTGTGTGTGTGTGTGTGTGTGTGTGTGTGTGTGTTTCAGGAACTGGCCAGGAACCTGTTCAAGAGACGGAGAGTTCTGAGTCTGGAGAAGAGGAAGAAGAGACGCATCGTAGGAGCCGTGATCGACAGAGACCTGATCACCAGAAACCACCTGAAGAAGAGGAGGTGACACACACACACACACACACTCCTGAAGAAGAGGAGGTGACACACACACACACACACACTCCTGAAGAAGAGGAGGTGACACACACACACACACACACACACACAGATGTTAACTGCAGTGTTTCTCAGCTCCAGCTCTAGAGCGAACATCACTCTCTCGGGGAAGAAGCGCAGGAAACTGATCAAGCAGCTGAAGCACATGGAGCAGGAGAAAGGTATCGAGTGTGTGTGTGTGTGTGTGTGTGTGTGTGTGTGTGAGAGTGACTCTCATTCTGATTCTGCTTCAGTGTGTCGATGTCAGACACTCATGTGTGTGTTTCTTCTCCTCACAGACGCTGCTGCACAGAAACACACACAGGAGAAACACACACAGAAACCGGAGAAACACACACAGAAACTGGAGAAACACACACACACACACACACAGGAGCCTGCGCTGGAGACCATGGATGTGGAATAACACTGAGTTTCTCATGATCGGACTCACGTCATCCTTTCACTCGCTCACATCACTGTGAATTCAAGATGTGTGTGTGTGTGTGTGTGTGGGGGGTTAGTTATCAATATGAATTTATTGACCAATTCAAGCAAAATACTGTCCCATGATCCCCCAGAGTTCATGCTAATATGCTGATTAAGAGACATTTCTGTTATCAATGTTGATCATAAGAATAAAATAGTTTACTATATTCACATAGAAATCATGTTCCATATTTCACATTTTATACTTTATTGTAATAAATATGCTTTAAAAACTTTAATAATGTTCATAAATAGCTGTCCTGGAGCGCTCGCGACGCCACGGTGTTGGGGTAGACTTCCTCTAGTGCTGCGCATGCGCAACTGCAGCCTCGACCCCCAGCAACATGCGCGCGCCCGTCACTCAAGAGTTCACCGCTTTATTTGTTTCGCCATTCGTGTATTTATCAGCATGGATTTCCCTGACGGACTCTAGTGCCAACACACCCGAACGCATTCGTGATAACTGTGTAAATAAATAACTTATAATAATAAATAATACTCTGTTAAATTGGCTGCAGATGCGCTTCGTGTTTCTGAACAGCAGGCGGAAGTACGCACTCACAAACAGTGCTTCCGGTGACTCACCTCCGCGGAATCATGGGTAATGAAGTTTTTCACTAAAACATGCAAAAAACATTTATATCTATATGAAGAGTTCAGATGCAAAAGGCTCTAAGTGCCATTTTACATTTTCTTCTAAAAATGATAATTTTTATCAAGCTTGTATATTTAAGTTCAGTAATTTCACTTAAATGGCAATGAAGATTACCTATTAATTGTTATTTAAGTGAAATTACTGAACTTAAATATACAAGCTTGATAAAAATGGTCATTTTAGAAGAAAATTTCGAATGGCATTTAGAGGCTTTTGCATCTGAACTCTTCATATATAGCTCACAGTAAGGCCGTATTTACATGTTTATAAGTTACTGTTAAAAATAAATTCCCCTCTGGAGAAAATGAAATGGAATGACTTGATATTTTCGATGCACACATTCATATTACTTCTAATAACAATAAAAAACTCATGGAAGAGAACTTTTTAAAATCTAACCTTGATTTGCTCTGTATTCTTGTTTCTGTAATGTTGTATCTTTGTAAACGTTCAGTTTTCGTTCATCGCTGTCGTCACTCTGTAAAGCCGCTGCGCCGCCACGTGGACAAATGTGGAACTTCACCATTTTAAATGTAAAAGTTCACTCAGTTTTATTAAAAAAAAATTCATTTCATTTGTTACAACAGCTTATAGGCGTGACTGAATGAGCTGTACACATCTGTTTTATACAATGTTTTACAAGTAAAGCATGTTCAATGTACAAAAACTCGAGATAGTGGAAATTTCATGATGAGAAACCAAATGTTGGTCACCTTTGAACACATCCTCGCAAAGAATCGAAATAAAACATGAATAATGACGAGATTCTGTGGCGAATCAATCCTGCTCACTCCTTCAAAAGTGCTTTAGACATTTCTCCCACAATTCCAGCAACGACGTCTGACCCGTGACGCTCTCCACAGAAACATGAAGCGTTCAGTGGCGAGAGTTCGAACCCCGGCGGACCGACACACACACACACACACACACTGAACCGCTCCTGTAAAGTGCAGTTAAGAAAACGGAAATGCTGGTGTGAGCAGAATCATAAAGGAACTAAAAACGTGGCGTTACCCAGAAGCCCTTGCAGAACAGGATTGAGATTTGGAACAGCTGTTTGACACACATTCATGATTGTCCTGAAGCTGCGACGGGCTGAACACCAGCGCTGGAGAGAGGAGAGCGTCTGCACACACACACACACACACACACACACACACACCAGCGCTGGAGAGAGGAGAGCGTCTGCACGCACACACACACACACACACACACACACACACACCGTGCTGTACTGACGGGACGAGACAGGACGACAGCAGCACTGAAGGACATGATGATGCTAGCTTATAAATACAGTATCTACACAGTATGTGGTACAAAAATAGTCGAGCTTTTGTGGGCACTGAGATTTAAAAAAGTGAAAAATGGCTGTAAAAAACGCTCAGGCACGAGGAGCCGTGACGCGAGCTCAGGGCCGGCGCTCCGGAGAAAACAGTAGAAAAATAGGAGTAGCGTGTGTTGGCGGCGAGTGGCTCACAGTGTGTGCTGCTCCAGGCCTGCAGGGGGCGCTGCGGGGATTTGGCATTGGGTGAGCGTTTGATTCAGGACTCCAGGATTAAGGCAACGCATCACGTCTGTGTGGATTTAATAAATCTTCCTCTTTAAAAAAAAAAAAAAAAAATGTACAAATTTCTTTTAATACAAAGCTCTATGGCGTAACCAATAAACACTGTATAGAAAATATATAAATATGTTTTCTTTTCTTTTAAAAAATGTACAGGGAGCCGCCAGACCCGACGCAAGTCTCCAGACGGATATTTACACGTGATGGGGGCGGGGCTCAGGATGAGTCTGCAGGGCGGGGTCTGGGTCGAGGGGCGGGGCCTGTGCTCAGGACGAGTCTGTGCAGGGCGAGGGCGGGGGCGGGTACAGGTGGTGTGAGTAGCTGCGGTCGGTGTAGGGCGAGGGTGGGCAGCTCTCGCAGTTCTCCTCCGCCGACAGGTACTGGCTGCGCGGTGTGGGCGGCGGTGGCAGTGGCTCCGAGTCGTAGTTCACGTCGCTAGCGTAGCCCTTAGCAGCCGTGGATGTGGGCGGAGCCCGGCGGCCTGGCGTGTAGTCGCTGTCACACACGTCTGTGCTGCACGGCGTCGTCGGCGGGGCGAAGTGTCGGTAACTGTACGGCCTGTAGCTGCAGAACACACACACACACACACACACACACACACAGTCAAGCGCTGCACGCCGTACACCTCGGCACCTGTGTCGCGCGGCGTTACCTGTACGAGCGGTGCGTCGACGGGCTGTTGGACGAGTAGCCCAGCTCCACGGTGTACTGAGACCTCACGGTGGCCGGAGACGGGGGCGGGTTCAGGATCTGCACACACATCAGAACCTCATATTACTGTGATCAATGTTATATTAGTAAATATTAAAGGATGATGCATGTAGTAGTACATGAACCAGCTGTGATCAGAATCAGTCACACACAGTCAAGCCCCGCCCACACGTGTTCTACTTCCTGTTTCACTCGATATACGACACAGTAGAGGAGAAACGAGCAGCGCAACTTCCCTTTCCTGCCGTCTTTATATGAAGCGCTCCTATAATGATCTGAGTGTGTGTGTGTGTGTGTGTGTGTGTGTGTGTGTGAGTGTGAGTGTGAGTGTGTGTGTGTGTGTGTGTGTGTGTGTGTGTGTGTGTGACGGACCGGAGGGAAGAACGGGCCCTTGGTGCTGGACGAGCTGCTGGACGAGGCGCCGGTCACATGAGCGCGGTCGTACGGCAGCCCACTGCTGCCTCCCATGATGCTCAGCGAGCCAATCACAGACTTCCCCCGAGACATGCCTGAGAGAGAGAGAGAGAGAGAGAGAGAGAGAGAGAGAGAGAGAGAGAGAGAGAGAGACACATGAGCAGCGAGCCGGGGCTGGACACACACACCTCTGCACACACACACACACACACACCTGGCAGCGAGCCGCTCAGAGAGCCGGGGTGAGGCACGTATCCCAGAGGCACCGTGGAGGGCCCGTGGACCACGAAGTCGTTGGTCATGGTCTCGCCGTCGTCCTTCATCTGAGGACACAGCACTCGCTGGCACACGAAGTACACGGCGCCCACCACGAACAGCACCAGCACCACGCCCACGATCGAGCCGATGGTGTTACTGGGGGGAAACGCCGGCTCCTCCGTCGCGTCTGAGGACCACACACACACACACACACACACACACACACACACACACACACACACACACACACACACACACACACACACACACACACACACACACACACACGGTGTCCTGAATCCTCTTGTAGATTCATATTCAATTACATTTTCCTGCCGGTCATGTCTGTTCGGTATGGACGTGTGTGTGTGTGTGTGTGTGTGTGGTGTGTGTGTGTGTCACGTGTGTGTGTGTGTGTGTGTGTGTGTGTCACGTGTGTGAGTGTGAGTGTGTACGTACAGCAGCCGATCTCGTCCGAGTTATCCGTGCAGTCGGTGTTGTGGTCGCACTTCTTGTGCCGGCCGATGCACTGGCCGTTAGCGCAGGTGAACTGATCCATGGGACAGAAAACTGCAGGGGGAGAGACAGGCGTCAGGGAACGAGCAGAACACACACACACACACACACACACACACACACACCGTCTTGTGGCCTAGATTATTTTAAATCTGTCTCATCCATTTCCTGTTCCCCGTTTATGGTGTGTGTGTGGCAGTAATACGGTGACCTCACCCTCACACTTGCTCTCGTCGGAGCGGTCCTGGCAGTCGACGTCGCCGTTGCAGCGCAGCGAGAGATGCACACACTGCCGGCTGTCGCACTGGAACTCCTCGTCCGAACACACCGGACACTCGCGCTCGTCACTGCTGTCGTCACACTCCGCGAAGCCGTCGCAGCGCCACGCCTGAGGGATGCAGTCCACCTCGCCCGACACACACGAGAACTGCTCCGGGGAACAGGTGGGCGGCTCTGGGGAACACACACACACACACACACACACACACACGAGTGAGAGAGAGAGAGATTGTGTGAGAGCCTGAGGGATGCAGTCCACCTCGTTAGGGTTAGGTTAGAGGTTAGAGGTTAGAGGTCAGGGTAACTGCTCAGGGGAGCCGGTGTGTGTGTGTGTGTGTGTGTGTGTGTGTACCTCCACAGGAGAGCTCGTCCTGCAGCAGCACCAGGTGGACGGGACACGAGCAGCGAGTGGTTCCGTCTCCCTTCACGATACAGATGTGAGAGCAGCCGCCGTTATCAGACGTGCAGGGGTGTTTATCTGCACACACACACACACACACACACACACAGATCAGCTAACAGGATCAATACTCACTCTCACACACACACACACACACACAGATCAGCTAACAGGATCAATACTCACTCTCACACACACACACACACACACTCTCACACACAGATCAGCTAACAGGATCAATACTCACACACACACACACACACACACACACACACACACTCACTGTACTCCTGGATGTCGAGCTGGTGTACGGCGTGGATGTCGCTCAGAGACGCGATGCGCGCCTGGATCTTGGTCCGTCCGTCGCGCGTGACCTTGTGTATGCGCTCGATCATCTGCTGCTGCCGGTCGATCCAGTACAGGAAGCTCCCGAACACCGTCAGGCCCACCGGCTGCAGGATGTTCGAGTCCTCGATCACGATCCGATTGGCTCCTGCGGAGAGAGGGGAGTGGTCAGGGGCTGAGGGGCGGGGCATTTACTGGGAGTAATAACCCTGAGCCGTTCGTCACTTGCACACATGTATAATTCTATGTTCACTTCTACAGTTTCTCTGTGTATATACACCGTTATTCGACACACGTGTGTAATTTGCATTCTTATCAAGTTCATTTTATGTATTAATTTAATTTGATTTATTTTTCTCGTTCCTCGTTTAGGTAAAGCTTAATAAAGGATGAAGACGGAACACGCAACTGATGGTCACGTGATCACGCTTGACCTTTGCCCTCACCGGACAGGTCGCTGCTCTCGATGCGCCGCAGGTCCATGTCGACCCAGAAGAGTTTGGCCAGCTCGTTGTCGATGGCCAGCGCGGCCGGCTTGCCCAGATTGCTGAAGAACAGAACCTCTCGCTCCGTCCCGTCCAGCGCCGACCGCTCGATCTTCGGCGAGCGCTCCTGCAGGTTCGTGAAGTACATGTACCTGTGGAGGAGACGGCACTGAGGTCACATGATGGCACAGGGCGAGATCACATGACAGCACTGAGATCACATGACGGCACTCACCCTCGCTCAGGGTTGACCACGATGGCACGGGGCTTGTCGTGTTCTCCGCGCAGCACCACCCCAACCCGCGAGCCGTCGAGCCGCGTGACGTTGATGACGTTGGTGACCTCGCTGGTCCAGTAGATGAAGCGGCTGTAGACGTCGATGCTGAGGTCAAAGGGCTGGAGGCCGAGACTTGGGCCACCGGACACCACCGTCACACTCTGAGGAACACACACACATCAGACCACCGTCACACACACACACATCAGACCACCGTCACACTCTGAGGAACACACACATCAGACCACCGTCACACACACACACACACACACATCAGACCACCGTCACACACACACACATCAGACCACTGTCACACACACACACACACACATCAGACCACTGTCACACTCTGAGGAACACACACACATCAGACCACCGTCACACTCTGAGGAACACACACACACACACACACATCAGACCACCGTCACACACACACACACACATGAGACCACTGTCACACACACACACACACACACCAGACCACCATCACACTCTGAGAAACACACACATCAGACCACTGTCACACTCTGAGGAACACACACACATCAGAGCACCGTCACACACACACACACACCTGAGGAGCTAACCCTACTGTAGATGTAGTAGTCTAGAATCGAATAGTATTTGATGGACTGAAACTGAACGCATGTTAGTCAGACGTCTCCAGCACACACTAAACAACACATCTAATGATTCATGAATGTACACTTGAATTCAGAGAGGATTGTGGGTAAAAGTAGGGAATAACACCACAAGATGTCCGACCCGATAGTGCCCTACATGGTGTGTGTGTGTGTGTGTGTGTGTGTGTGTGTGAGACCTGGTTGCCGTCCTCCTGCGCGCGGCGGATGAGGTTCTGCTTGGAGTCGATCCAGTACAGGTGTCGGTCCAGCGGGTCGTAGTCCAGCGCGCGCACGTTCCTCAGGCTGTGGATGGGCAGGATGATGTCGGGACTCTGCAGCTCGTCGATCACCATGCGGTTGATGGCCGTCTTCTGGCTGAACAGCAGGAATGATGTGGGCGCTGCGGGACAGACGGAGTCATGTGACCACTCATCTCGCTCGACCCAGCGTCGGGAACGGATACGGTTATAAAATCTAAATGTGGATTCCTGTGTGTAACTCAGCATGAGTGTGTGTGCTGTGCTCGTGTGTGTGTCGGTGCACTGCACCCGCAGCTCTTAAAGGCACAGCGCTCATATTCCTCCGTCTCTATAATAACAGAACAGGACACGGAGAACACACACTGTGCCTACATCTCTACTGTATATTTGATGGATGAACTGCAGATATTCTACATCTGAGGAGTTCCTGAACCTGACAATCTGAAACTCTGTTTATGTCAGTCGTAGCTTTTGTTGCGATTGCTAGTTTTGTGAGTGTTCTTGTTTTAAGACTGAGTGTTTGTTGCGTTTAATAATGCTGAAGTGTGAGAGTTCTGCAGATGATGATGCTCACACACAGTCACATGTTAGATGACGCTAGCGCTGCGCAGACGTAGCACTCACCGCTGCAGGTCTTGTTGTCGTGGTTGAGCGAGTAGTGCGCGGGGCAGCCGCACACGAAGCCGCGCACCGGCACGGCGAGGCACAGATGCGAGCAGTGGCCGTTGGTGGCGGCGCAGGCGTTCCAGCCGGCCTGACGCGACGAGTGGAACACCAGGATGTCCATGACGTAGTCCAGGTGCCCCTGTATGACGGTGCGGTTCTGCCCGCTGGTCTTGTTGGCGCGCTCGATGCTGCGCTGGCTCCAGTCCGTCCAGTAGATGTAGTCCTGGTACTGGGTGAGTCCGAACGGGTGCGGGAGGTCGTCGGCGATCACCTCGCGCTCCAGACCTGAGGACATCATGACAACAGACACGCGTTAGCTTTACAGCGGCGGCTGATCATGATCTCACTGTTCTGACTGGAGTTAGTGTGTAATGTTGAGGTTAGAGTGTAAACAACATCTCACACACACACACTCAAAGCTCAGAGCAAAGGGAGAGATTTACTTTTTAAGGACTACAACAAACGGCTGGTAGAACTACACAAGCTTCTTCCTGGGTTAGTGACATCACCAACCCTTTAATTTACATAACCCCGCCCCTGGGACGCGATTTATAGATTATCATGAGAGAATATGCTAATCACTGACTAGAAGATACTAGCTACACATCAGCTGCATAAACTCTTCAACTAACCAATCAGAGTGTCCTGTTGCTTCCTCGAGTCTCTCCATCTTTATCTGACTACAGTTTCAACATAAAAGGCTAAAAGTTTCGGAATTTTTCAGTGCATGTGTGTGTGTGTGTGTGTGAGAGGTAAAAGGAGCAGCAGCTCATTTGCATTTAAAGACACACACACACACAAGCGGTGTGTTTTTGCTCACCGTCAAAAAGTGACAATTTTAACATGTTATAATAAATATCTGGGGTATTTTGAGCTGAAGCTTCACACACACACACACACACACACACACACACCCTCTGGGGACATCAGAGACTTATTCTACATCTTTATACCACCCTTTAAATCCACATGATTAATCTATAAGATCATCATTTGAACATGTGATATATTTATATTGAACACTGCGCAGGAAGCAGGAGCGCGGCGGGCGCTCACCCATCATGTTGGAGGACTCGATGAGCGTGGTGTCCAGGTCGGTCCAGTACAGCCGGCGCTCCGCGTAGTCGATGGTCAGTCCGTTCGCTCGGCCCACGTTCGGCACCAGCGTGAGGCGTCCAGAACCGTCCATCGCAGACCGGTCGATCTTCGGCCGCCCACCCCACTCAGTCCAGTACATGAAGCTGAGAGAGAGAGAGAGAACGAGTGTGAGACACACACACACACACACCCCTCAGCCGGGTCACACACACACACACACACACACTCACCCCTCGGCTGGGTCCAGTGCCAGGGCTCGAGGGCTGTCCAGGTCCTTCCACACCAGAACCTGTCGGTGCTGCCCGTCCAGTTTGGCCACCTCGATGCGGTTGGTCCCGGTGTCGGCCCAGTACAGGTTCTTGCCCAGCCAGTCCACCGCCATTCCCTCGGGATAGTCCAGGCCGAACTCCACCACGTGCTCCAGAGCGCTGCCGTTCATGAAGGCCCGACTGATGGTCTGAGGACGCCAGAGACACGTCACACACACACACACACACACACACTAGAGCTTTCAGAGAGAGAGAGAGAGAGAGAGTGTGTGTGTGTGTGTGTGTGTGTGTACCTTCAGCGTGATGTCGGTCCAGTAGATGCGGTTGTCGGTGATGTCGAAGTCGAGCGCGGACGCCTCCTTGACGCCGGTGAGGGGGATGGCCACGTTGTTGTTGTGCGTCTCGAGCGAGATGCGGCGGATGTCGGTGTGCCGCGAGAACAGGAGGAAGGCCTCGGGGACGATGCAGGAGCTCAGGTCCGACATGAGCTCGAGCCCGATGGGACACGCGCACGACACACCCTGGGGCTTATACAGGCACAGGTGACTGCAGCCGCCGTTCGCCAGCGCACACGGGTTCACACCTGAGAACAGCAGGGCCACACACACACATCAACCACCCGAGCAGAACCTCTCTCTCTCTCACACACACTGCTGTTCCTCCACTGGCCACTAGAGGCGCTGCAGAAGAGACTCCCATAGACCCGCAGCATCACAGCAGGAAAACACATGTGAGCAGAAACTGGTTTTGCCCTTTATCGCTAATGTTGCTCTTCATGACAACTTCATTAAACTCATCCGTTTAAATGATATTAAGCCTTAAAGATGTGCATAATTAAGGGCGTGGCCACTTGAGTGACAGGTGGATTGCCGCTGATGTCACTGCTAGCCGTTTGTCTGCTGTGTGTTAGCGTCACGTCACCTCAGCTAATCCGCCTCGCTGCACATGTTCGTTTATCCGGGAGTGACGCGGCCAAGATGACGACAGCCGGCTCCGCCCACTTTAGGCTTTAAGATCGGTCTTCAGAAACACTACAGGTGACGTCACACACACTACACCCAGTGTTTTATACAGTCTATGGCATCGGTTCCCAAAGGGGGGATCGTCTCATGTTTTGTTAACTTTTTTCTGTTCAAAATTTAAATAATGAGCGAATTCATCCTGAATCCGTTTGTCTTATCCTGAACCGCTGTGGTACACCTATAATACGCGTTTCCATCGGGACTATTTTACACTGGTTCAGGTCGCTGCCGCTGCGGAGTACTACAGTTCCTGCGCTCGTCACAGACGTACAGAGAGGGAAGTAGTTCCGGCTACAGTGTTCTTCTGAAAAACGTATTATTGTGTTAAAAACGCAAGTTTATTATCGCTCGCTAAAGCACCAAAAGCGTGGAAACCTCACACTGATAAAGCCTCACAGATAACTTGTGAGTATTGAGGCCGCAGACAGCAGTCATTCAGTAATAGCCTATATTCTAACTTTTTTATTTTTTTTTTTACCTACACACCACTGTGAATATTTCTGTTTTTGCATTTCTAATAGGGCCTATACATGGGCTTCTCCAAGCTTACGTTTTAAAACTGCAAAGGGCCTACTGATGTTTTTGTTATTGTATTTTCAATATTATAGGCTATTATTTGTGCATAAACATGTCTGGTTATAGTAAACATACCGTTTGTTTAAAAAACAAAACTATTCTAAACTATTCTCTTGTCTCAGACAAAAAAAAAGGTTGGGAACCACGTGTGAACTGTGTATACGAACTCCATCAGTCGTATAAAACAGATCCGGTCTGGACCTTGCACGCAAGACTCTAATTGGTGGAATTTCCTGCACTGCATCATGGGTAATGTAGTTTTTCACTAAACATTTTAATCACATTTTGCTTAGAGAAAGGGTCATTCCTCAACATCAATAACTCTTTTGCGCGAGTAGGTGTTATAGCAGCAAGCTCCGCCCCTGACGTGTAGCCCCGCCCCCTCACCAAAGGTCTGCGTGACGTAGGTGGCCTTGATGCCCATGAGGTCGGGCAGCTGGTCGATGATGACCTCTCGCTCCAGGCTGGTCTTGTGCACGCGCTCGATGCTGCGCCGCTGCCAGTCCGTCCAGTAGATGAAGTCTCCCAGCAGAGAGAACCCGAAGATGTGCGGGAGGTTCTCCTCCACCAGAACCCGCCGGCCCGAGCCGTCCATCTCCATCACCTGCGGACACACACACCAGCAGAGGTCAGGAACTTAATCACACTGTGTTTTTATATAAAAATACAAATAAGTAATAATTATAGTTAAGAAAAAAAAAGAAAGACTCAAGAATAAAAAAATAAAGAAATAAAGACGTGTAATAAAAATCATCCATCAGCATGGTGTATATAAATTGAATCTGGTGTGCCGTCTTGGCCAGGTCTCCCTCGGAAAAGGGACTTCCTGGTTAAATAAAGGTGAAATAAAAAAATAAAAAATAAACATCCTCTGAATGAACAGGAAATGCTGCAAGGCTTGCGCGCAACACCGTATCCATGGAAACGGCGACTGTGGTTAACGACACCAGTCAATCTGAATTTAAATGGATGTCCAGCCGATGAAGGAACAGACCTTTAACCAGCTAACGGTCCTTTCGATAACACTCAACCTGCAAATCAGGTTTACTGGCAAACTGTCCTTCAGCTGTTCACAGTGAACAAATCAAACAACAGTCCTTAAAATAGCTCAGTGGTTCCCCCAAATTCAACTGAAAATGCAACTTTTAATGACTTCCGCCGTCTCAACATTAGGGTTATCAGAGTTCACGAGGTCAGAGTGACAGGAGCAGTGGCGTCCACAGTCACGGGTGTTCAGGAATAGGCCGCTCAGATGAGCTGAATCATAAATTAGCCTCATCATTTCTGTACAGGCGTTCTGACAAACACTTACTGAATCCGACACACACACACACACACCGTCTCTCTGGGGAAATGAAGTTTCCATCTTGGGTCGGTCGTGACCGCAGCGCTGTGGCTTTCAGACTCTATTCTAAACGGACCGGAGCCGCAATCGTAACCAGATGTGGCTAAAACCACAAGCCGACGGGACGAGTGTGTGTGTGTGTGGTGTGGTCTCACCTCGATGACGTCGGTCTTGGCGTCGCCCCAGTAGATCTTCCTCTCGGTGTAATCGAGCGCCAGTCCGTTGGGCCAGCCGAGAGACGTGTTGACCAGAACCAGCCGCTCCGACCCGTCCAGAGCCGCGCGCTCGATCTTCGGCACCTCACCCCAGTCCGTCCAGTACATGTACCTGTGCACACGGGACACACTCTTCAGCTTCAGCACACACACGACCCATGACCCAGCACACACCCTGTGCCACTACATCACGAACTGGAGCGCTCACCCGGCGACGGGGTCCAGCACGATGGCTCTGGGCTCGTCCAGCTCCTCGGAGATCAGGATCTTCCTCATGGTGCCGTTGAGCCGGGTCACCTCGATGCGGTCCGTGCCGGTGTCCGTCCAGTACAGGTTGCGAGCGATCCAGTCCACCGCGATGCCGTCGGGGTGGTTGACCTGCGAGGTCACCAGGACCCGCGGGTCGCTGCCGTCGAGCTCAGACCGGCGGATGGCGCGCACATCGTCGTCGGTCCAGTACAGGTGCCGGTCCACCGGGTCGTAGTCGATGGCGATGGCGTGCCGGATGTCCTCCGCCTGGAGAACGATGTCGGTGAAGTCCGGCGTGTCCAGAGAGATGCGCCGCAGGTCTGTGCGCCGGGCCAGAAGCAGCAGCTGAGTGGGTCCTGGTGAGGGGCAGAGGTCAGGGGTCAGACATCAGTCAGAAAACATACATTTTAAAGTCCCCGTGAACCGGAAGTTGCAAACGATTTTTCTCCAGTGCTGTGACGTATTTCCAAGTGAAGCGGAATATTGAACAGAGGGCAGGGTTTGACTCTAGCGCTCCTCCTCTCCATCTCTCGCTCATAGCAAACTAACGGTTTGAGGGGAGTGGTTAAGCGTTTCCCCACCCAAACTGTGAAACCTACGTCATTAGAAAAAGAAACCGTTCCAGACCGGAAGTAACTTTTCAGATTTTGATTAAAGATTACTAAGGTAAAACATTTTTTTAATATATATTCACTTGCACGGATTAATTGTTCACCACAAGACTAGTAATATGCGCTAACAAAGTAAATAGGTTCAATTTTGATTTCACGGGGACTTTAACATGTTTTTAGGAATGAAATGCTGTATATGAACAGAATATATAGGCAAGGCAAGGCAAGTTTATTTATATAGCACATTTCATACACAGTGGCAATTCAAAGTGCTTTACATGGAAGAAATTAAAGAAGTCAGAATAATTAAAACGGTTTAGAATAAAAAAAAATCATAATAATAAAAATAAAATACAGTGTAAATGCAATCAATATAAATAAAAACAGTTAAGAGTAAAAATAAAATAAAGTAATACCCCTCTGAGATATAGATGTGAATAAAGCTGGTGAAGGCAGATTTCTGAAAACTACAGATGCTAGTAGATGCTAATCGCTAACGTGCCCAACACTAGAGTCTTAAAGAGCCCCTGTCATGGATTTTTGAGAATGACTGTTCATGTAGTGTGGACTAGAGCTCTAAGGGAATGAAAACATCCTGCACAGATTTATATCTGAAAGTGCACGTATATAAAGTTACTGTCTTTCAAAAGTGAGAGTCGACTCTGAGTCTATGAAATGAATTGTTTTTGAAACGAGTCATTAGCTGGTTCGTCGTGACGCAGAGAGGTCATTGGGAAGTGACGTCTAGAGCACATTGAAATACTTCAGCTGAATCACGTCATGTGGAGGAGACGCTGTTCAACATTGCAAAGGCAGTTCAGCCACTTGTTTCCATTGTCCAGGGACGAGCATGTGAAGAATCAGTGCTCAGAGTTCATATTTGCAAGATTTGTTCAAACACTATATATAATTTCCAGCACTTGACGAGCTATAATCCTGGTTATGCGCGATCCGTTGCCGACAGTATCTGCCTACGGTTTACCAATAACAGCTGACTGGGTCATGTGACCAATCGCCACAGATTCGCGTCACTCACAGGAGGTGTTTGGGAACATGAATCGTCGAACGAATCATTTGGGAGTCGTTGAGCAAATCACTTAAAAATAAATGCATATTATAAGACAAATAAAGTGTTTTTTATCCTTGAATGCACGTTAAACTGTTTTTGGGAACTCCTAAAACACGAATAGGAACATTTCAAATGTTATGATGGGAATCTTTAAATGTGTGTTTCCTGTCCATTAATCTGGAGCTGGTGCACGAGAAGCCCACGTTTGTCCTGTAGTGTTAAACATGTTCAGTGTCAGTGACAGGCTCGAGATGAACAATCTCCCATCATGCTGTGCAGTGAGTGGGTGGGGGGGGCAAACAAAAGACCAAACAAACGAGCCTCTCTCATCCAAACACACTCAAACGCTGAGATCGCTCACTCAGAGCAGACAGACAGATGAGGTCACGTGACTCGCTCGCTCTGATTGGAGGAAATGAGGCAGAAGCACGGAATCACACGTTACCGTGGCAACCAGTGGACGGTCGAGCGGAGAGTGAGTAAATGCAGGATCTGTGTGTGTGTGTGTGTGTGTGTGGGGGGGGGGGTCCAATCAATAGAAGAGTCAACATTATGACGATATTTAGAGATGTTCATCTTAATAAAATTAAATGTACACATTTATCCACAGCCCAGGGAATCAAAGTCACTCTGCAGCGGATTATTATCAAAACTGAAATATTGATTAGATTAACCCAAGATCTGCACACACACACACACACACACACACACACACACACACACACCGTCAGGCGTCAGCTTTAGAAACCAGTCATTAATTGCATAACCTGTTGAACTCCAGACCTCACTGTGTGTGTGTGTGTGTGTGTGAGAGAAATAGTGTGTGAGTGAGAGTGTGTATGTGTGTGTGTGTGTGTGTGTGATGGGTAGGGTCAGTGTAAGGGGATAAAATATACAGTTTGTACAGTATAAAAACCATTACGTCTATGAGTCCTCACAGAGATAGTAAACCAGACGTGTGAGTGTGTGTGTGAGAGTGTGTGTGTGTGTGTGTGAGAGAGTGTGTGTGTGTCTCACCGTCTCTGCAGCTCTTGTTGTCGTCCAGTAGTCGGACTCCTGTTGGACAGGCGCACTGATAATACGGCTTGACCGGAGACAGCAGACAGAGATGAGAACATCCTCCGTTGTTCAGCGCGCAGGGACTCGTCATGTCTGACACACACACACACACACACACACACACACACACAGAGAGAGAGAGAGAGAGAGGAGTGAACGCAGGATTCTGTCAGCGCTGTGAGAAATTCTCTGCTGGAACAGAACAGACGCTCCATTGTGTCCGAGTCCTTCCTTCCTCTTACCCAGCAGCCCCTCTGTGCATTGTTCCAGAGCATGATGGGAAGGGAGAGCACACACACACACACTCACACACACACACTCACCGATCTGCTGGCGCTTCTGGCTGTAGACGTGTATGTCCACTCACACACACACACACACACACACACACACACACACACACACACACACACACACACACACACTCACCGATCTGCTGGCGCTTCTGGCTGTAGACGTGTATGTCCATGGGGGAGAAGATGTTGGTGTGGACCTCTCGGCTGTTCTGGCCCGTGTGTTTGTGGCAGGAGTGGATGGAGTGTGTGTTCCAGTCGGTCCAGAAGAGTGTGTCCTCGTACAGCGTCAGCGCGAACGGGTGCGGCAGCGAGCCCTTCACCACCACCTCCCTGACACACACACACACCCAGATTAATCGTCATCAAGAGCATGTGTGTGTGTGTGTGAGTGCCGTAGTGAGCTGAGGTGTGTGTGTGTGTGTGTGTGTGTGTGTGTGTGTGTGTGTGTGTGTGTGAGAGCCGGAGTGAGCTGAGGTGTGTGTGTGTGTGTGTGTGTGTGTGTGTGTGTGTGTGTGTGTGTGTGTGTGTGTGTGTGTGTGTGTGTGCCGTAGTGAGGTGTGTGTGTGTGTGTGTGTGTGTGTGTGTGTGTGTGTGTGTGTGTGTGTGAGTGCCGTAGTGAGGTGAGGTGTGTGTGTGTGTGTGTGTGTGTGTGTGTCGCACCTGCCGGACCCGTCCAGGTTGCAGCGGTGGATGAAGTTGAACTTGGCGTCGGCCCAGTAGAGCTTCTGCTGTGTGTGTGTGTAGTCGAGTGTGAGGCCGTTGGGCCAGTAGATGTCGGAGTCGATGATCACAGAGCGGAGAGTCCCATCCATCCCCGCGCGCTCGATCTTCGGCACCTCGCCCCAGTCCGTCCAGTACATGAACCTGAACACACACACACACACGCGTTTATCTTCGGCACCTCACCCATCCGTCCAGTACATGAACACACACACACACTCTCTCTCTCTCTAACACACACACACACACACTAAAACAGAGTTTTTAACTGTTGGATTATTGGTCAGATCACAGTGTGCGACTCGATGTTCAGACGCACTGCATGCTGGGTAACTCACACTCTCGGGCGATCAGCTTGTTTCCAGAGATCTGAACAATCTCATTTCAATGCGCACAAACCTGAAGGATCACATGACCTGATGATTGACAGGTGCTGGTCAGTGATGTCATCACTTCAGGTGCGTCAAACCAGCACAAACCCACTCCCTCGACCTCTGACCTCCGACCTCCTTGACCTCAGGCCAGAACAAAAGCGCCTGTGTTGGTCAAGCTCAGGATTACCCATCATGCCTCCTGATAAAGCCCGCGGCTCGGGTTACACACACTCCCCTGGCCGCACGGGTGACGTCACACACACACACACTCGTTCCCATCAGGCCTGAAGAGTGACGGCTGCAGACTCTGAGCGCTATTCTAGATCCACAGGAAAGCCCAAAACAACATTATCAAACGGAAAAAGCCCATAACTGACAGAAATTAGACAACATTAAAAAGTCCTGAAAAGGTCATAATTATAAAGAGCTGAAACTGACACACCACAATCCTGCCTTTCATCTTATAAACATGACTTAATGCGGCATAATTTCATATCTAAATGTCAACCTTTTTATGGCTTACAACAGCACGATACTTTCCCTCGTGTGTGTGTGTGTGTGTGTGTGTGTGTCATGCTTCACCGCACACACACTGCCGCTCAGAAGATTTGGATCAGTGAGATTTTTCTTTTTTTTTTTTAAGAAGTCTCTTCTGCTCACGAAGGCTGTTTATTTTACTAAAAACATCAAAATAAAAACAGTTTAATAAACTCCAGTCTTCAGTGTCACATGACCCTTCACAAATCACTCTAATATTTTATTATTATCAGTGTTGAACACAGATATTTACACTTTTATTTCAGGATCTTTGATGAATAGAAAGTTCAAAAGAACAGAATTTGTCTGAAATAGAAGCTTTTGTAACACTATAAATGTCTTTACTGTCACTTTGGATCATTTTAATTCATCCGTGATGGAAAAACTGTTGATTTTTTTTTTGGGCTGTCAAACGATTAATCGCATCCAAAATAAATGTTTGTGTTTACATAATATATGTGGGTGCACTGTGTATAATTATTTTACATACATAAATACACAGATGCTCTTATATATTTAAAAAAATATTTTCATGTTTATAGATTTATATATAATAATTATTATATATAAAAAATAAATATTTTATGCATTATCTTTCTTGAATATCTACATGGATGTGTGTGTATTTAATTTATTTATTTAGCCCTATTTTTTTATTTATAAACAAAAATTCTTAAAAGCTTCTTTTTCAGATAAATGCTGTTCTTTTGAACTTTCGATTCATCAAATAATCCCGAAATATAAACATTCTGAACTTTTAAACGGTGTCCAACACTGATAACAATCATAACTGTGTCTTGATCCTCATATTAGAGTGATTTGTGAAGGGTCATGTGACACTGAAGACTGGAGTAATGATGATAAACTACACTTTACTGTATATTCACACAGGAGCGGTGACGGTGACGAGCTGCGCTCAGCGGGACCCGAGACTGTAAAGCCTGAACGTCTACACACAACACGAGGAGCGTCTCGTTCCAGCCTGTAACTACCGGCCTGCGAAACATAAACATCCAGGAGACAAGCCGCAGCACGCCCGCTCCCGACGCGGAGACGAGGCCCCAGCCGGCGCTTCACGGGGGACCGCCCCAGTGCCTGAGTACAAATCACTATTATAGAAGAACTACGCTTATAATGACCGTTAATCTTCATACACTAGTCTATACCCGAAGCTTTAGACTGTGAATTTAAACAGTTCGCATTCTAGGGTTTTTTTTAGTTATCTTAGCATACAGCGATCCGAGATGATTAGGGAGAACGCTTTTCACCGTCTATACGATGCTTTGGCACACTGTTTGTCATCTGGATGATTTCATATTTTTAGATTGAGATTTAAATCACAAGTTCACAAGCAGTACATTTGCATCTTCTTTCTCCAATCATGATCATTGCAAATATGATAAAAGCATAATTTGATATTTGACATGCTCGTATTTAAAAGTAATATATGTATTATGACTTTTTGCTAAACGTACCTAAAAATTCAATTTCTTTCACTTTAACTATATTAATAATCAGAACAAAAATAAAAGATTATTACATGAATTAAGGGGTTTTATTTATTATATTAAATGGTGGAAAAATGCCCCTTTTCATAAGATGTAGAATAAGTCTCTGTTTCCCCTGAGCGTGCATGTGTGTGTGTGTGTGTGTGTGTGTGTGAAGTTTTAGCTCAAAGATAATTTTGAACAGCAAGTTAAAATTGCCCCTTTTTGAGGGTGAGCGAAACCGTGTAGTTTTGTGTGTGTCCCTTTAAATGCAAATGAGCTGCTGTTCCCGGCACAGTGGGCGGAGCTTGTGTGTGTGTATCTTCAAGTCGTACATGATAATCTATAAATCGCTGGTGTGGGAACTGTCGTAAGACGCCGAGAGAGTGACATGCTACTGCAGTCAGAACAGTGACCCGTGACCCCGCCCCTTCCGACTCGCGAGGGCCGCCGTAGCTCAGCCCACTCACCCGCGCGCCGGGTCCAGAGCGATGGCCCTCGGCTGGTCCAGGTCCTGCCAGAACAACACCTTCCGGTGCGCGCCGTCCAGCTCCGACACCTCCACCCGGTTGGTCTCGGAGTCGGTCCAGTAGAGCTTGTTCCCGATCCAGTCGCAGGCCAGGCCGTCGGGGGAGGCTAGGTTGGACACGACGGTGGAGGGAGCGCCGCTTGGCGTGGAGCCGTTGAAGCGCGTGCGTTTGATGGACTCCTCGCTCACGTCGCTCCAGTAGATCAGATCCTGCGCGAACACGTAATCCAGCGCCGCCGCGTCCTCCAGGCCGCCCATCACCACCGTAGCGTTCGCTCGCCCGTGAGCCGCGTCCACCAAGCGCAGGTCACGCCGGTTAGCGTACAGAAGCAGCGGCAGGCCTGAGAGAGAGAAAGGGGGGGGGGGGGTCAGAGGTCAAACAGAACGATTCTGAAAACATATTCAGGTGTGAAAAGAACTCAATCGGGCTTGTTTTCCAACACTAAACATCCTTAAACGTGTTTTCTCTGAAAGATGCGCCGCTTGTGCGTGTGTGTGAGCGACGAGCGCGGCTCGAGAGCTTTTATCTGCTGCATGGGGAAACAGCGCTGTTGATCACACACACATCTGAGTGTGTTCGCTCACCGGCTGCTACGACACACCGCCGTGAGCTAACGATGCTAGGCATGGTAAAACCTGGTACTCGCGGTAAATCAAGAAAACGAGATTTAAACAGAAAGAGAACTGTGTTGAGCTGTTAAACAATGATTCGTTTTCTGTGTATGAACGCATCCAACAGCTGCTCACCGGCTCATAACACACATCCGAGATTAAAGCGTCTGCTGTTTCCATGGTTTCTACTAAATAAACCCGGGTGTGATGTCATCGAAAGGCGCCGTGTCCTGGGTATTTCTCTGGATTTATACATTCTTGGAAAAAATTTAAATCAACAAAAAAAATAGCATTGTTCAAGTGGTTTTTGGATATTTGAATCCAAAAATCTTACATAGCGTGCCTTTCAGACATTAGGATGCATGTTTAGCAGATTTGGGAACGAATCAAGGCTTTTTACGACACAGTGTTTCGGAGCAGCTTTACAGAGATCATAATAATGATGCAACAAAGTTTGTTTCCAGAAGAAAATAGCATCCAGTCAGCTCATGATGCAGTTCTCATATAATGGGGTCAATGCAGGAGATCAATAATATTGTAGAATATTATCCGAATTCACTCCGGATAGCATCAGCAGGACACCAGTAAGTCCACACAGTAATCCTGCTCCTGTAGAGAAGAGGATCCCGCGTGTGTTCCTGCAGACCCGGGGATGGAGCGGCGACTCCACGGGGATCTGGCAGAAAATCAAACCTCAATTTGACACATCGACCGCAGAAACACCGGCACAACCTCCAGCCTGTTTTCCTAACACGGGGAATTTCCTTTCTCAAATATTTAGAAACTCTGAGCAGTGACTGAAGCCCGAGCCAGAGCACAAACTGGGAATATGGAGATTTCTGGACACTTATTGCTTGGCCTCGGATCATGTCAACCTCTCAGCTGGTCCTTTACACACTCCTTCGGGATTTGGATTGGTGGTTTTGTGTCTCACTGGACAGCTGTTACACACAGCACTGTTTACCAACACTAGCAACTCACTTCATGGCCAAAGAAAGTGTTTCTCTTCTCACCACAGAAGAACCATTTTGGGTTTTCAATGACCATTTCTCAAAACGTAACCATTTTTTCTAACCGTGGAGAGCGTTTTAATAAACCTAAACCCATTTTACATCACTGTAAGATTATTTAATGCAATGAAACGATTTTAAAGGGTATTCTTGGAACCATCAGTTTCAAAGAAGAACCTTTATTTTTAAGAGTGAATCACACACACAAGAGCGAACCGAACACAAACCCTCGAAAGAATCGAACTGAGCTGCAGTTTGAGTGTGTATTGTAACTTCACAAACTCAAAGAGAAGAGCTGCTTTCACACACAACTCTCTCACAGGACACATAAATGACGATAAATCACTGATATACTCGAGGGGTTTTGCTGCTGCGGCTGAAAACGAGCGAGTTTGATGTGAACGAGTGAAAGATTCACACGGCCGCGGTTCTCAAAACAAGAACACGAGCACAAACAACAAAACAAACACGTTACACATTCTACAGCTCCAACGATACAGATCAGCATCGACACACTATACACAACAGCACTGATTCACACTTCACGAAACAACAAGATTGATTCTCTCTCACACACACACGGGCGCGCGCCTGTAATTACAGAGATTCGATCCAGAGAATCATTAGATCAGCGCGATTCGTGAACAAATCGAGCGCCGTAAATGAAACTCACCCCGTATCTGCAAACACAAAGTACACAGTAAGAGACTCTGTAGTGCGGCACACATCTTCAACGCTCAGCCGCGCCGCTTCGCTCGCATCGCTCCGGCTGCGTGTGTCTGGGATTCGGATTCTTCGCGTTGATTCTCCGTTGCGGTTTTTCATCGATTTGATTGTTTCAGTGTTTCAGTGAGTCCGTGCGTCTCCTTCCGCTCGCAGGGAAAATGCCCGGACGCTTCCAAACCCTTCCGCCGGCTCTCCCGATCCCAGTGCTCCGTCACTCTCACTCACTCACTCACTATTGTTGTGTTTCATCTCATTCAAGACACGCTCTTTCTCTATATCGGACCATAGTGCGGTAGAGACGCAGAACAGACTGTATAATGTGGGAAGTGGAGCGTCGCGAGCGTCGTGGACGCGTGGATAAAAGCAGTGAAGCGCATTCCAATGGGACTACTTTTTCACGCAGTGGTTCGTGCTGCGGCCCGAAACACAAAACAACACAAAGCAACGGCAATGAATTACACTTCATTAATACTCACCTATTGGTCATTGTCTCTCATTTATTCTTCAAAATCACCGAATATTGCGCTTTTAAGACTCTCTCTCAGTCTAAGCACTTTTTTTTTGTGATTTGTTAATATCACTTGCAGGGATTTTATACTACATATTATTCCATCCCAGCAAACGGGTCCGTTCTTTTAAGGTTCTCTCAAAGTTATGAACAAACATTATTCCTGTAACATTAATAGACCGTTCGTTCAAAGTTATCAGTTATTTGAATGCCTGATGTTCTCAAAACGTTTGTACAACATGTATCGATCATGGAACGTTTTTGCTTTTTAAATGTTGATCCCGTTTTCAGAACGTTCAGATTTAAAAGTAACGTCATCATAATGTTTGAAGATTGACTGTATCTTTTGAACATTTTATTTATAATATTTTAATGAGAATGTCAGCGAAATAGTCTATAATGTATTTCTGAAAGTATTGTAGAATGTATTTATCTTGCTAATAGCTTTATCATAAATATTCAATTTTACTTTTCTATGTGCATGTATAGTAAAGTGGAATAAGCTGAATTTATCATCATTACTCCAGTCTTCAGTGTCACATGATCCTTCAGAAATCACTCTAATATGAGGATTTGATGCTCAAGAAACATTTATGATTATTATCAATGTCATATTTTATTTCTCAGGATTCTTTGATGAAAGGAAAGTTCAAAAGAACTTATTTATTTGATATACAATTTCGAACATTACCCAGATTGCAAATGACATCTGCCACATTCCTCTGCTCGCGTAGCAAACCCGAGTGTGGCAATAACATTCATATCCGGGCCTCATCTGGGCCAGAACCGAGCCATATGTGCCACAGATGGCCTGGATATGTATGCTCTCTGGATATAAATGTCTTTACTGTCACTTTTAATCAATTTAATGTGTCCTTGATAAATAGAAGTTTTAATTGATCGTCAACACCGGCCAGTAAAACACTCATCAGTCACTAGTTTTGAGATTTAGTTTGGATCAGATTTTAAATGAGCTTTTGAAACATGCCTGTCGTTAACTGTTGTGCTGTTTATGGTAACTCGTGCAGATGAAACGTAATAAGAAACCTTGTAGATATTGAAAAAGACCCCTTTTTATTTCTTGCAGGAGAAACAAAACCATCACATTAATCTCAAGGTGTCTGTAAAAGCCAAGACTCACCAAAAAATGTACCACCAACATATACTAACAGATTAGAAAATACAGAAGCAGAATAAGATTAAAACTTAAGAGTGAACTGGACAGATTTCAGTGGATCATGCTGTGAAATAAACGCCTGACCCCTGCCACCGCCTGGACGATCACACAGAGGAAAGCAGTGAACTACAAACAAACACTCGTTCACTTCCACTGAAAACATGAAGTGTGTGTGTGTGTGTGAATCTCTCCAGCTGTCATGTGACACACTAACAAGTGCACTACACTAGTGAGCAGTGAAGCACAGCCGCTCTCGGGACCCGTGAGGTGCTTCTTACAACAGAACGCGTTCATGATGTTTGCTGACAAGAAACGCTCGGTGAGAGAGAAAGAAAGAAAGTGGCGAAGCTGTTCAAGATCTCAGCCTTCGTTTCATCATTTGAGGCGACCTGAGTTCAGTGTATTGCTTTTTATTGCTCTCCTCGAACTGTGGAAACCAAACCAGCCTAAATATATCAAAATACAAATCTTTTCTCTGGGTGAGGCGGCACACTCCTCCAGAGCAGAGTGTCAGTGTGCTACACCTCATAGTGCAGGTCGTTGAGCTCCAGCCGAGTGTAGTGCCGCCTGTCGAAGGACTCCATGGCCTTCCGGGCCACCAGAGCGAGGATGAGCACGAGGAAGAGCAGTGTGAGCACCACGATGGCCACCAGGCTGTTCTTCCACATCACCCGAGACACCTTGGGCCTCCCCGGGACCGGGCCGCCGGGAGGAGCACCGAAGCCCCGGCGCCTCGACTCGCTCTCGGGCTCAGCGGGCGGAGCCGCGGCTGCAGGTGTAGTTACAGTTGTTGTAGTTGTTGTCGTAGTTGTAATAGTTGTTGTGGGTGTAGTTGTAATAGTTGTTGTGGGTGTAGTTGTGGGTGTAGTTGTGGTGGTTGTTGTGGGTGCAGTTGTGGTGGTTGTTGTGGGTGTAGTTGTGGTGGTTGTAGCTCTTGTGGTTGTAGCAGTCGCTGGTGTGTGTGTGCCGGTGGTTGTCGGGCTGGCGGTCGCTCGGACGGGCTTCACTGGATGTGGTTCTGGTCTGGAAGGTTTGCCCAGTTTTCGGACTCTGTTGGGTTTGGTCGGAGGCCGCGGGGCTTTAGTGCTGGTGCCTTTAGCTGTTGTTGTGGTTGTAGTGGTGGACTGTGTAGTGGTAGTGGTTGTCGTGTCAATGGGTGTGGTTGTCGTGGCAACATGTGCGGTTGTCATAGCGAGGGTTACAAGCATCAGGTATGGTTCTGACCCAGTCAGCAGTTCTTCAGTGCTAGTGCTGGTGCTGGTCAGCGGTGTGGTGGTCGGAGTTGTTGTTGTAGGTGTTGTTGTTGGTGTTGTTGTGGTGGTTGTTGTTGTTGTGGGTGTTGTTGTTGTGGTGGGTGTTGTTGTTGTTGTCATGGTTGCTGTTGTGGGTGTTGTTGTGGTCGTGGTCATCTTTGTCAGTACACTGGGTCCAGGCTTGGCTGTTATTCTTCCATTTGCTTTAGCCAATGGATGAGTTGAACCTGAAGTGATTAATACATTTGCAAGAAAAAAAATCAGCAAAACACCATCAGCATCAAACTCTTGATCAATATACTCAAAGACCACCCACCTACTTATAGTATGTTGATTCTTTGATTCTTCATTATTTCTATGAATATAGTCATTTATTTTAATACAATTTTGGTAACAGTTTACAATAAGGTTCTAAAGCAGAAAAATGGTGGGGCGGCAGGGGAGGCAGGGGCGGAAGGGCAGGGGTGGAAGGGCAGGGGCGGAAGGGCAGGGGCGGAAGGGCAGGGACGGAAGGGCAGGGGCGGAAGGGCAGCGGGGGAAGGGCAGGGGCGGAAGGGGTGGCAGGGCAGGAGAGGCAGGGACGGAAGGGCAGGGGTGGAAGGGCAGGGGCGGAAGGGCAGGGGTGGAAGGGCAGGGGCGGAAGGGCAGGGGTGGAAGGGCAGGGGCGGAAGGGCAGGGGAGGAAGGGCAGGGGCGGAAGGAAGGGGCGGAAGGAAGGGCAACGGCGGAAGGGCAGGGGCGGAAGGGCAGGGGCAGAAGGGCAGGGGCGGAAGGGCAGGGGCGGAAGGGGTGGCAGGGCAGGAGAGGCAGGGACGGAAGGGCAGGGGTGGAAGGGCAGGGGCGGAAGGGCAGGGGCGGAAGGGCAGGGGCGGAAGGGCAGGGGTGGAAGGGCAGGGGCGGAAGGGGTGGCAGGGCAGGAGAGGCAGGGACGGAAGGGCAGGGGCGGAAGGAAGGGCAACGGCGGAAGGGCAGGGGCGGAAGGGGTGGCAGGGCAGGAGAGGCAGGGACGGAAGGGCAGGGGCGGACGGAAGGGCAGGGGCGGAAGGGCAGGAGAGGCAGGGACGGAAGGGCAGGGGCGGAAGGAAGGGCAACGGCGGAAGGGCAGGGGCGGAAGGGCAGGGGCGGAAGGGTGGCAGGGCAGGAGAGGCAGGGACGGAAGGGCAGGGGCGGACGGAAGGGCAGGGGCGGAAGGGCAGGAGGGCAGGGACGGAAGGGCAGGGGCGGAAGGAAGGGCAACGGCGGAAGGGCAGGGGCGGAAGGGCAGGGGCGGAAGGGCAGGGGCGGAAGGAAGGGCAACGGCGGAAGGGCAGGGGCGGAAGGGGGGCAGGGCAGGAGAGGCAGGAAAGGAAGGGCAGGGGCGGACGGAAGGGCAGGGGCGGAAGGAAGGGCAACGGCGGAAGGGCAGGGGCGGAAGGGCAGGGGCGGAAGGGGTGGCAGGGCAGGAGAGGCAGGGGCGGAAGGGCAGGGGCGGACGGAAGGGCAGGGCGGAAGGGCAGGAGAGGCAGGGACGGAAGGGCAGGGGCGGAAGGAAGGGCAACGGCGGAAGGGCAGGGGCGGAAGGGCAGGGGCGGAAGGGGTGGCAGGGCAGGAGAGGCAGGGACGGAAGGGCAGGGGCGGACGGAAGGGCAGGGGCGGAAGGGCAGGAGAGGCAGGGACGGAAGGGCAGGGGCGGAAGGAAGGGCAACGGCGGAAGGGCAGGGCGGAAGGGCAGGGGCGGAAGGGCAGGGGCGGAAGGAAGGGCAACGGCGGAAGGGCAGGGGCGGAAGGGGTGGCAGGGCAGGAGAGGCAGGAAAGGAAGGGCAGGGGCGGACGGAAGGGCAGGGGCGGAAGGGCAGGGGCGGACGGAAGGGCAGGGGCGGAAGGGCAGGAGAGGCAGGGACGGAAGGGCAGGGGCGGAAGGGCAGGGGCGGAAGGAAGGGCAAGGGCGGAAGGGCAGGGGCGGAAGGAAGGGCAACGGCGGAAGGGCAGGGGCGGAAGGGCAGGGGCGGAAGGGCAACGGCGGAAGGGCAGGGGCGGAAGGGCAGGGGCGGAAGGGGTGGCAGGGCAGGGGCGGACGGAAGGGCAGGGGCGGAAGGGCAGGAGAGGCAGGGACGGAAGGGCAGGGGCGGAAGGAAGGGCAACGGCGGAAGGGCAGGGGCAGAAGGGCAGGGGCGGAAGGAAGGAAGGGCAACGGCGGAAGGGCAGGGGCGGAAGGGGTGGCAGGGCAGGAGAGGCAGGAAGGAAGGGCAGGGGCGGAAGGGCAGGGGCGGACGGAAGGGCAGGGGCGGAAGGGCAGGGGCGGACGGAAGGGCAGGGGCGGAAGGGCAGGAGAGGCAGGGACGGAAGGGCAGGGGCGGAAGGGCAGGGGCGGAAGGAAGGGGCAAGGGCAGGGGCGGAAGGGCAGGGGCGGAAGGGCAGGGGCGGAAGGGGTGGCAGGGCAGGAGAGGCAGACTGGAAGGTTGGTGGTTCAATCCTGGTTCCACCTGACCAGTGTCGAGGTGTCCATGATCAAGACACCTAACATCCCAAAATTCTAGGCCTTCCTTGGTTGAAAATACACAACCCCCAGCAGTCCAGGGCAGACAAACAACTCACTGGTCTTTCTTACGCCACAATCACTTCTGTTTCCAGAGCTAACCATAGCTACCGCCACCACGAAGAGCCCTGATAATCATCAGGCCTGCCTCCACATCGCTCATTTGATCGTAAAATATACCTGGAACCACCCTCGCACCCGAATCAACCCACTTACTTTAACTGAACAAAAATCTATGAAAGAATATGTACAGGAGGCGTTACATCGGCTGGTTTCAGGGATTATCAGGGCTTGAACCAATGTATGGTCAAACACAGGTGTCCGTCAGTTCCTGCTGCCCTAGACCAGCTCCGTCATGCACAGTTTTGTACAAACTTGCGCATATGTGAAGGAGATGAGTGCAAGATGGCCTTCAGTACCACATCTAGCCACTATGAGTGCTGTGTTATGCCTATGGGATCTCTAGTTTCTCTGTTTTACAGTGGCTCAATCATATCCATCAGATCACTTAAGACAAAATTTGTGATTGCCCTCATAGACGATATTCTAGCGTATTCATTCACCCTCCTTTACGACCCATGTTGATCAAGTCCTCCAGCGTCTCTCGCAACATAATAAGCAAATGTGAAGTTCAACACATCATCAGTCCAGAGGGGGTGTCAATGAATCAATCCAAAGGAACCTCTGTAGTGCACTGGCCTACACCTCACGACTGCTAAGACCTACAGAGATTACGAGGAATGGCCCATTTTTACCAAGATTCATCCTTCAGTTCCAAAGCTCATCCTCTCACATCTCAAACCTGTGCCGATCACGCCATTACTCTCGGACCGGTATTCACTACGGCTCCCATTCTTAAACACCCTGATCCTTACAAGCCCTTTGTTGTAGAAGTAGATGCTACCGAGGTAGAGTTGGACAAACCAGCGGACATTTATAAAGTCTCTAACCGGACGTACGAGGAAAATGTAGGATAGGAGATCTCATTTTCAACTTCAAAATAGTCTGACATTGTTTTTTCCCCTTTTTTTTTGTAAACGCCGTTTGTCGTTGCGTGTTCGCTCTGTAAACACTGGGTCTGTTCTTCCGCCTGTCACGCTTGACCTTTCACCCTGATTGTGTAATGTGTGTCACAAGTGCAAGACCAGCATTAGTGGATATAAAGTATATAAATGTGTGTTTTGTTGTAAATGTCGCTGGTTTGTCTAGATCAGACTCTTATTCCTCGGCTGGATCGTGTCGAGACTTTGAAACTCACATCTGACCTTCGACCCGTTGGACCCCATTGAAGACACTATATGGAGAAACCCTGGAGTGTGTTCTTAATTTCTTTTTCGACAGAAGAAAGACCGACATGAACATCTATCATGAAACTTACATTCTGAAGTGAAGTTACCCTTTAAATTGAACACAAAGAGATCTGCTGTTGTCGTTCTCACCCTTGAATATGTCGTAGGTGTTGATTCCAGCGCTGGCCGGCGTCAGCGGACAGTCCGTCTCGCTCTCACAGTGGAACAGCAGGCAGTTCTGATCCCCGGGCCGGGCCGGCGGGTTATACACCACCAGGTTACACTTCACCCCTGCGGGAAGAGGATGGTGAAGAAACCCATCGATATAATATCATATTTAAATGTAATTTATTTTTAATGCGATGACTAAAACATTTTTTATAACCTTTAAAGATTGTCCCCATTTATAAAACGAAATGTTTCAAGATGAAGGAAAACTCACACTTACTGTATTTAAAAAAAAAAAAATATTAAATTACTATTATAGGTGGCAGCAGTAATACGTGTTTAGTCTATAGATATGAGCGTTTGAATATATATATGTGTGGAGTCGTGAAGTCTTAAAAATTCATTATACAGATTTTTTGTCGCTTCCAAAACCAGTTAGTCTGGAGCCCTGACCCCTGGCCCGGACCCTCCGGTGTGAGAGGAACATTACCTGTCCTCAGGTCCTCAGAGCAGCAGGTGAGTATACAGTCCTTCTCCGACGGCTTCGCCAGCGCCTCCATCACGGTTCCCTGCTGACCCAGAGCCGCGCGAGTGTTCACGGCCACGTCTCGGTGCTGGCGAGAGTAGCAGGTGTCTCTGTCGGGCTCCGGGGCCCCGCAGGCCTGCAGGACGAGGCACGCGAGCAGGACCGACACCGAGGCCCGGACCCGGCCCGAGCTCACACACATGATGATGCTGACGGATCGAGGAACTGAGGAACTCACACACCTGAGGACAGCAGAACACCTTATCTCATCACCCTCTGGATAGACACAGTGCAGTCCAAAGAGCTCGAGCCGTCAGCCGCTCTTGTGAAATACGATATCAAGGTCAATGTGCATTGCTGCGATAACTGAAAATAAAACAGTATTTTGTTTTCTCATCTTAGTTCACAATGATTTGGAACAAAACAAACTAACAAGCAGAAGAACTTTTTGATAACGACCACATTAAGTTATGAAAATATTATTTCTGAATGTTCCATGAACGTTGTAAAAGTGTTTCTTCTCGGTTCTGTGAACGTTACGGGAACAGTGACACTGTATCGTTCTTCACACATTATGGAACGTTACTTTTGAATCATTTAAAAAGCGTTACATTTAAAACACACATCAACTGAAACATTCCAGAAGAATCATTCCATGAGCGATGGATAAATAATGATTCTGTTCTAATTCTCTGAGATCATTATTAAAGAGCAGATGACTCTGAAGGAGCGCTCTATTCATGGAAGAACGTTTGATCATAACTTTGAGAATGTTTCCTGTTCTCTGAGATATGAAATAATAACTCAATGAACGTATGAATATGAGCAAAAAGTGATTCAGGATCATAGCAGATAAAGAGTTGACTGACCGATGTTGAGTGTGTGAAGGCTGATCTCCATCTGATTCCTTCCAGTCACACACACACACACACACTCGCTCTGAATCTCCAAAGGCAAACCTTTGGTCCCTGTCGAGGAACGTTTATCACAGAACGTTATAAAAGCACTCAGGAATCACACACACCTTCTCCTCTGCTATCAGCAGGGCCGACTATTCATTATTGATCATCACAGTACTCATACACACTCGAAGCTTCTGTGATTCAGACGTGTGTGTGATGAAGATGAAGATGAAGAGGATGTGATGGTGTGATGCTGGTCGCCATGGAGACTGAGCATCACGGGAGCAGTGTCCGGTGTGTGTCGTGATGCAATCCTTATGAAACACGAAACACTAAACACCAGAACCCGCCGATCAGCCTATTAAAGCCGCGGGGGTTATATGGCGACACACACACACACACACACACACACACACACACACATTGATCGCGGATGTTCTTCGATGCGCAGAGGCAGTGAGCGACAGTCAATGGTCCGTTATCTAGAGCAAGTGTGTCGAGAAAACACCTAAACTCCACACAATCACACAAACAGAGGCGATCCTCGAGCACAAACACACACACACACACACACACACACACACGCGTGATCTCTCTTTATTCGAGCAGCTTCAGCGGTGATGCAGATCAGTCACTTACCATGAGATCAGTGACCCATTTCTGTGCCTTTGTCCTCCGCGGGATGATGATGAGGATGATGCTGATGATGCTGTCTCACACACACACACACACACACACACACACACACGTACACTGATCTGAGATGCACACTGATCTAAATGTCCAAAAGCAGTAAATAAGCACACCGAAGACCCCGATTCCCTAAATTCCTTCAGTGGCTCTAATTTAAGTGTCACTGTGAACTCTTAAATGTGACGTGCGCGCGCATTGTGTTGTCGATCCTGCAGTGGCGCATGCGCAACACCAGAGGGCGACACACACACAGACACACACACACACACCTGAGAGAGTGACGACAGCGATGAAAACATCACACGTTCCGTGTACGTTTTGATATTTTTTTTTTGAACCACAAAACCAATTAACGAGAAACCACCCTTTTTTCGTTTCAAACCAAAAACAAAGAAACGGTAAAAAAGAGCCGTTCTCCCATTTTTGGTTCTGAATCCAAAAACAAAAAATGACAAAATCAAATAATGGCCCGTTCTTTTTTTTTTTTTTTGAAATTCCCTTTTCCATTTTTTCCGTTTGAAGGTCTACATTAAAACGTAGGTTGGCCACGTGACCCGGAAATAATAGTAAATATGGCCTATCAAAATAAAAGCCAAGCTTTTAGAACGGTCATGTGCAGCACTAACGTTAGAAGAAACATCAATGAATAAATAGGCTTATATAAACCTGAACCGGAATAAATATGTTAGCAACAGTAGTTTATAACAGCTATTTAATATCATGCCTATCCAGACATCACCAGCCACATTTAACGAGCGCATTGTTTGGCCCAATACAGTTGGTAATATAGGTCAACCTAAAAACTTATTGCGTGTGCAGAGTTGTTACTGTTAGCGCTATATTATATGATTGAATTTATATTTAAGGTTTATTTCAGTAAATGCTGTGGAAAGTAACGTGTTCTCGATATTGTAAAGATCGATGGCATTGAACTAACAGTAAACACACCAAAAGGATTTACAGTAAAGGACCAGCAGGTGTCGCACTCCACCTCCGTCAGCTGTGATCTCCTGGACACACTTAATACAGGGGTTTTTATTCGCTTTGATACTATTTTCACAAGTTAGGTGTACATTTTCAAAACTCTCAGTTCAAAAATCCAAACTGATCACACTTGTAACACAGCTCATTCTTTCAAAACATGATCCCAGGCTTTCATTACAGTTATAATATGGACGAGGGCAGAATATAACACACCTCCATAGAAAACGGCTCTTAAAACACGATCACCCACCAGAAAATGACGAAAAAACATTCTTATGACCTTATAAATTAATTATGAGTTACAATTTGCAAATATTAATACTTTAAGGGATTAAAATTCTTAAATATAACGTTAGAATATAAGAGTGTATAGACGCATATACAACAAAGTTATTAAGATTAATATGATTGCTTTACCAACTTATAGTTGTTAAAATGTATGCGTTTTATATTAGAAATGATGCCTGTCCGAAACACAGCGAGTAGACGAACGCCGCGAGTCCTCATGGTCATCCGGACACTCCCGGCAGGTTTTCTCTAAAACGATTAGTCCAAAATGTGTCAATTAAACTTTGAAATATTTCAGCGGGTTGATATCTTAAAGGACGTTTTACTTTGCAAAGCGAGTCTACGTTATGCACAACGCAAAATATACCCACCACATTTTCACTCGTATCTTAGTAATTGGATGGAAACCTGATCCTAGCAACCAAACACAGGGACAAACACAATTTTTAATTCATTATTACCTCAGAATGATGGTTTTCTGCACGATGTTGAAGATGTGATGGTCTGTGTTAATATAATCTTTTGTAAAAAAAAATAATAATAATAATAAAATTTCTAGTACATAAATGGACTGACTAATCAAACACACCTGAAGTTCATTATCTTCACTACAACGCGTTTGATAAAGCAGCAGCCTTTCAGATTAGCAATAATAAAAGCACAATATTGCATACTTGCACATTTTCTGATCAAGGGAATAGTCCAAATCAACCAAATACAAAGTATGTAATCTTATCTTATACTTCTAATGGTCTGATGCGTTATTTAGTTCACTATTGTCTTGCTAATGACTCTTTTGCATGGTGACACTCATTACTGTGATGTGGCAACCAAATAAATCACACCAATATCTCATTACTGCGATTACCGTAACGAGTTCATAATCAGCATAACATGTAAAAGCATCTCTGTATTGACTTAAAGATGACGCACACGTCAAAGATGATTTTCTCCACGTTTTATTGGTCTGTCATGTGAAAGCACAAACACACACTCTAAAAGAAAGTGTTGGGTCTCTTGGTGGTGAAGCGGGGCTTGTGCTGGCGGCGAAGGACCCTGTGAGGCAGAGGGAACTTGATCTTGGAGTCCTGCGGACACAACACACTACAGTCAAGCGTTCGCTCACTTTACAGTCACTTACACCAGACGCTTATCCAAACGAGAGCAACCAAAGACTAACAGTAGGAACTCCATTTATAAACACAAGAGAAAGTGTTCGTATTACTGCTCTGCATCACGTGCTGCTGAAAAATATACTTAATTTTTTTTAATTGAGTGTCGCACTTGAACCACAAAAAATATATAGGATTTGAGAAACTTTGCGGTTTAAAATTAAAAATGGTATCAAATCCTTCCCCCGCGGCTCAATTTGCCCCCTATAGGAATGAATGGAACGCTTCGGTCCACAAAAAACCCTCAATTTAAAACTAAAAATGCTAAAACTCACAAAATGACTTTACATCTACATGTGCATCTGATTTTTATGATTTTTCCACACAAGGTCGACAAAGAGTTTCGCTGTAAGATATTTAGAGCTGAATTAAACAGGTTGTGGCATGACTGAGATGTTGGATTGAAGTGAATGTGAGGAATGTGCTTGAATTATAATGTATTTGATTTGTTATCAAAGGGGAAGAAAAGAAACTCAAAATAAGCTTTCTGGACCAAGAAAAGGTAGTATAAATGTATACTGAGTCAGGTGAAACTCAAGATTAGACTAATTTTGATGCTTATGAAAACCCCAAATTCAATATCTGAGAAGATTAGATGACTTCAGATTAAATAATTTAAAATTGAGAAATGTTACCCCTCTGAAAAGTATAATCATGTATATGGTAATATCGGAAATATAATAGTCAGCTTTTAATTTGATTACTGAAATACTGTTGCATGATATTAGTTTTCTGAGTTTCCCCAGTGTGTTATGAAGCGTGAGGGAATGATGAGGGTTAGGCCGCGACTGCATCGGAGCGTGTGCTAAAGCTAATTCTGCGGTCAGGTGACTCACGTGGAACTGCTTGATGGCGGGTCTGCGGCATTTGTTGGCTGCGATGACCTGCACCTTCATGATCTGGATGGAGTGAGCGCGGGCACGATGCCTGGCACCCATGTCCCGATCTGAAGCACAAACACACATCAGCACAGGGAACACACACACAGAAGACACAGTCACATGTGGCACCTTGAATTCACTTTCAGTGGCACGTTTCACAGCCTAAGAAAGGCGACAAGGTTCTGCTTTACTGTGCGCACACATAGCAAGGGCATCGACACTGGGGGGAAGTGACCTTTGGGTTTGCGTGCGGGTGGAACAGGAGTGTGTTCTGGGAAACTCACAGCACTGAGTGACGGCTCCAGACGTGGACAGGTCTCTGTACTCGCGGTACATGTTGTGTGTCCCGCTGCGAGAGTCGTAACGCAACCAGATGCCGAAGTTCTTCACCTTCAGAGGAGACTTCTCATAGACCTGAGCAGGAACAGAACACACTTGCACATTACAGCCTGACAACTACAGATAAAGACAAGTCCACACTAAAGACTAGCAGAGCTCAGAACACAACTAGAACCATCAAGACCACGGTCAGAGCGATTGTTATTCCCAGGTGTGGAAAGATTGCACACTGACAGCCAATCAGAAGCCACTCGGTTTGCACGTTTAAAAAGGCAGACGACATTGTGGATAAGTTAATCCACCAGTTTGACAAGTCAAACCAACTTTCAAGGATAATTTCTAAAAATAAAATGGGATATATGCAGGCTAGCAAATCGTGTACCAAAAGTACCAGTGCTAGTTGACAATATACAGCTTGCTTTGAAGCTTATTTTAGTACTTTTCTCTTTTTTTGTTACAAATTTGCAATAAACCAGCCAAATTGCTTTGTGATTCATATATACACACACACACGTTTATATTTATCGGGTATAGTGTTAGAAAGTGGATCAACATTTGAGATGTCTATGATCCATTTATGCTTAGAATAAACACACGTTATCGCTCGTTGGCGTGATGCTATTATGGTTCTGGTTCTCGGTATGAACGGGCCGTAGGCCTCAGAAACAGAGCTCAGAGACGTCTGGATTAGACAGCGTTCGCACCAGGCCACAGTAGACTGTCTCTCCATTGGCTTTCTTCATCTTCCTCAGCTGGGAGACGAAGTACCAGAAGCGAGACTTGGCCACCACATGGTTGGGGGCGAAGATCCTCATGCGGTACAGAGGGGGTGTGGGGTTTTTAGCGGAGGGCAACAGACGCCCAACAACCTTATACTCCCGAAGCTGCAGAAAGAGAGGAAGACAGTCAGAGATGGACACTTTATCAGCTCAATCTCACCTGAACATGAATATGATGTAGACTATTGCATTGAGATCATTACTCGAGCTTGTTAACCCGGTTTTAAAAAATCTAAATTAGACTGGTCTCCTAGATTTCACAGCCAAAACACGTCTAGTGACAAAATTAGCTAAACATATTAGCTTATTCAGTGGAGTATGTTAACCCGTTTAAAGTCAACTAAAACATGTAGAGAAAAAAATTAGCATCTTTGATCTATATTTGCCAAAGCTTGATGGATATTTTCTTGAAAGCGCGCAAATTTAATCATCATAATCAACATTAGCGGATACCGACACTTAGCGGCCTAAACACTGATCTCGATTATGCTCAGAAAACAAACCACCAAGCACAATATCTCCCTAACACACTCAATAATACAAGAATCAACCACTGAGAGTGTGTTAGAGAGCAAATTAACTCGATATCGTGAGGTTTTGCGTGTGTGATCATCACTGATCAGCACATGGAGCGAGGCTCCGGCCGCCATGTTTCTCAATTCGCACAATCAACACGTCAAAGCAAATAAAACGCTTTAAACCTGCACATGTGTCGTGTTAAATCGCTGTTATTGATAAACGACTTCTTTAAACGTGTTTTCTGATAATAATAGTGAGATTTAAGCGACTGTGAAATGATTAAAGAAGGATTTTACGTACTGTGCCAGACGCCTTCATGGTGTCTCACGCCGACGGCCACTGTGAAAGAGGAAGCAGTAGGGCGGGAAATCCTGACGTCAATCCTCTTCCGAGGGGCGGGGCTTACTGGAGCGGCTCTTATTGGTCAGTCTGTGCGATCAATCAAGGCTGCGTTACTTCAGCCGTTGCTAAATATTTAAAATAATATTTCAAAAGCACGTATGTTAGCACCCTTCAAATAAATTAGAACAAAGAAAAAAATAACATGGCCTATATATTATATTCTTAAGTAATAAACTTTAAAATATAAACTTTAACAATTTTAAATAGTACTATGTACAGCACAGAGACCAAATAATAAATGTAAACGATATTACATATTTGTTTTGGGTAATAAGCAACGAAACATACCCCCCCCCCACCCCAATTAGGTGATTTTTGTGTAACACCAAACTTCCTACATTTACTTGTAAACGTAAAGACGGAACGAAATAAATTCGTTAATATCGTACTGCATGGCGAATAAAATATACCATCAAAATTATACCACTATTTTTTATTTTTATTTTTTTTTATTGATAACAATACCACTAAGTAAATGTAATTACATTTTAGACGCGTGAACTATGACGTTCCTCCGTCGTGACGTATATGGTGCGTCATTTCCATGACAACCGCTGAGGCTTCGATTGACAAAACAAAGAAACATGGATGATGATCAGAATGCAGAAGAGGTAACGTTAAGATCATAAAAATAAAATATGTTTGCTTTAAACACTCGTAAATTACTTATAAGTCGTTTATTTTTTGCTGTTGCAGTATAGCTAGTCGCTAACAGCTGCTTACCGATTAATCTGAACACATATACAGTAGATTCAGTGTTTTCACTGTTTGTTTAACGTTACAGTTCAGAAGCTTTAAACAGTCACTCGACCTTTCTCTGTTTATTCCTGTCTTCCTCTAGACAGCCTTCGTGGTGGAAGAAGTGACCGGCATCATTAAAGAGGTGTGTGTGTGTGTGTGTGTGTGTGTGTGTGTGTGTGTCAGATATATGTATATATATATATATATATATATATATATATATATATATATATATATATAGAGAGAGAGAGAGAGAGAGAGAGAGAGAGAGAGAGAGAGAGAGAATGTGTGTGTTTGAGAGTGTGTGTGAGTGTATGTGTGTCAGATATATGTCATATATGAGTGTGAGAGAGAGTGTACAATTTGTCATAATAACTCTGATGATGGACAGCATGATTTCTGACGCTGGTGTGTTTCTGCACACGTGTGTTCTCTCTCTCTCTCTCTCTCTCTCTCTCTCTCTCTCTCTCTCTGTGTGTGTGTGTGTTCAGTCTCTGGAGTCAGTGATTGGTCGCAGCAGTTTCGAGCACAAGCGTGTGAGTCAGTGGACGTCCAGTGTCGTGGAGCAGAGTCTCTCTCAGCTCAGCAAACTAGCCAAACCCTTCAAATACATCGGTGAGCAGAACATCTGTGTGTGTGTGTGTGTGTGCGTGTGTGTGTGTGTGTGTGTGTGTGAGCAGAACATCTGCAGGGAACCCTCACTGCTCCTGTTCTCTCCTCAGTCACATGCATCATCATGCAGAAGAACGGCGCTGGTCTTCAGTCGGCCTCCTCATGCTTCTGGGACAGCACTACTGACGGTACGGTCCAACACTCATCTCACACACACACACACACACACACACACACACACACACACACACACACACACACACACACACATGTGTGTGAGATATACACAAGTAAATATATAGAAGTCAAAATATCAACATTTTAAGATAAGCTTACTGGACTTTTTCACATGTTTTGTAACTCGACACCCTCGCCTCATTTAGTATGCGTGGTTCTGTGAATATGCAAATGAGCCCCGCCTCCACTCACTCAGAGATCCACTGGTTGACGATCACACGTTGATCTGATTGGTTCCAAGGTGGTTTGTGACGTCAGAAACACCAGCGATTTCAAAGTGTGTGTTTGAGACTGTCTTTGGTTCACTGCAGTTTTAAGGAGGAAATACTCAGCAATGCTGTCCACTTATCAACACACACATGTGTGTGTGTTAGAGCGGATTAAACACACATAACATAAACACACACACATAAACAACATTAAACGCTGGATTTACACCACAGGGGGACTTTAACATTTGTTATATGCAAAATATTCTTTGCTCAAAGTTTTATTTGACAAAAAACAGCCTATATTTTTGGTCATATTACAAAAACAAATGTATAGTTTGCACTATTATAGCATATAGACTCTTATTTTGTAGTTGACTATCAAACTATTGCAGTTGTGTTTAAAAGTAGAGTGCCAGTATTTGAGTCTAATATTGAGCTACTGTTGTTCTTCAGGAAGCTGCACCGTCAGATGGGAAAATAAATACTTGTACTGCATCGTCAGTGTGTTTGGACTCGCCATTTAAACACGAGCGCGTTCAGCCTGACCTCAAAACCCTCGACGCACAATAAAGCACACGTCTTAAAAATCTCTGCAGGTTTTATTCTCTCAGACAGTTTTCACAACAGTGCAATGGAAGGAGTGTGTGTGTGGACTGAGGAATGACTTGATGACCCTGATGCTGTTTATTACACTCATGGAGAACGGCTTCAACTCAAGTAAATGTTCATCTGTAAAGCAAAGCATTTCCGTCAGATCCTCCATCCAAACAGCATTACAGCTTTAAGACAGAGAAGTGAACCGACAAACATTTACACAGATCCGACCGACCACCACATCCACAAAATAATAAATACAGGCACAATAAAAAAAAAAGGAATGTGAGAAAAGAAGGCTTTAGGAATGTAAATGAAATGAACATTTTTATCAAAAAAAGAAAAGAGATTCACATGAGCACATCTGGACATCGGCCAGAAATCAGCAGAAAACCGTCCTAAAGCAGATCACATGACACACACAGGTCATATTTCACTCCATAAAGCAAAACATATATTGTGCATTACGTAGAAATAGTTTGGACCTTAATATTTTTTTAGTCACATTATTTTCAAGAGTTACACATTTAAGTGCACTTAAAAAAAACATTTGTAAACTTAAACTTTTGGGGTTTTAAGAAGTGCTTAATTATGTCACAATGCAAAAAAAAAACAAAAAAAAAACCTTTATAATACATTTTGTTGTTGCTTTTTCTCTTTTTAGTTTCGAGGTGAAATATAATCTGGCCATCTTTTCACGCAAGTCACCCTGAATATAGTGGTTCAACAGGATTTAGATCAGATGTATAATTGATATTTGCACGCTGCCTTTCACTGACACTCACTGAGGTTAAAGACAGACGGGTTTCTTCATCATCTTCATCATCATCATCATCAGGGCGGCTGGAGCTGCTTCTTCCACTGGAGTTACATTCAAAAATCACTTCACCTTTAAAAATATATAGGCCTGTATATTTACACCGTATATAACGAGACTGGTGTCATGTCAACAAGTCTATATAATCCCTCAGATATACAGGAGCGATCCGGAGTCAGACCGGATTCAGTCGGTTTCGCTCTCATCCTGGTATTTGGCGGTGGCTTTGATGGCGCGGCCATTTTGAAGAGGCATTTCTTCATAATCGCTCCTTCACACACACACAAGAAGGGAACAAATCTGAATATACAGTCAAACAAAAATATCATTTTTACTAGTTCACTATAGATCATTTCTGTGAGTGAGGAGAGCAAAATAAAGAAAGAAAGTGAGTTCTGCTCATATTTATCACCAATATCTACACTACAGGAGTCTGAGTAGTGTAGGTCTGACGTACCCGTAAATGACTTCATCATCCGAGTCATTGAGCATGGAGAACGCAGGGTTGTCCTTCAGTTGGGAATCTGGGAAAGGGAACACATGTCCATGAGAGAGGAGTCAGTGATGGAGGAGTGTTCAATCACACTGCAGATCAACTCACCGTACAGAGCGTTTTTGGAGGGCGAGTAGACAAACGCTAGTGTGTAGAGGTAAAAGTTCAGGAGGCCGTAGAAGGAAAGAAATTCGGCTGGTGGAGAAAAACGTTCAGGAAAACATCACTTTTCCTGGACATTTGTATATTAATGCGTACACCGTTTTATAGAGTCGTTCTCAGCATAGAGTTGAAGTGCCTCATTATGCTTTAACCTTCCCTGAAATAGAGCTGGGTGTGAATGGAAAAGCTGCTCGATAAATAGTTATTGTCTCCTGAAAACTGCTGAAACGAGTCAGTAATTCCAGTCTCCCGCCACTGGTCCTGATTGGCTAAGCAGCGTCTCTTAGCTCCGCCCTCAAACACTGTAGTGTATCTGAGACGGGGAGAGTACGGTGAAACCCACGCCATCGTTACTGTTCGTATCACTGTGATCAAGAGCTGAGAGTCAGATATGATAATGAGCCTTTCTGACCAATCACAGCAGAGCAGCTCTCAGAGAGGCGGAGCTTTTCAGACACTGAGAGGAAATGAGGGTGCGATTATTAGAAAATTAACGTGTTTTTGACCTCGGATGGATGTGAACACACTGTAGGACTCCTAAACACAATTAAGGAGACTTTACATTAGCATAATAGAGCACTTCAAACAACTAAAGAGGCATGAGGGGACGATCCTGTAATGAAAGGATATAATTCTGGTAGTGGGTGGAAAGTTCGGCAACAAAGTTGTCCTGCAAGGCCTTGGATCCGAACCTCAGGTACAGTATAACCACACTGATGGAAGAGGAAGAGGGAGTTACAACACATGCCCATCTGAACGTCATTCACATCTCCTGCATACGCATAAATGATCACATGACTGGATTTAACACAAAAACATCATCATATTAGAGTGATTTCTGAAGGATCATGTGACCCTGAAGACTGGAGTAATGATGATAACGAATGAACTGCGAATATGGGGAAAATAATCAACATTGAAGCAGGAAAAGCTGTTGATGATAAATCCCTTTAAACAGCAGACGAGTGTGTGTTTACATCACCTGATCATCAGCACCACCAACGTCAGCGCCGTCAGAAACTTCAGCCGCAGATCTGAACACACGGATAAACACAATGAACAAACCGCTTCACCTCCAAAGGAGAATTTGAGTTTCTTTCTTCTGCTGAACACAAAGCAAACAGATCATGGACTCACTCACTTACAAATTAGGAAAAATAAGATACTATGGAAGTCAATGAGTCCCGTTTGCCTACCGACAGTCTTCAAAAGATCCTTCATTTGTGTTCAGCAGAAGACACACACACACACACAGGTTTAAAGAGGGCGAGTACAGGCGAGACTAGAATATGGGGCAAAAGTTCATTTATTTCAGTAACTCAACTTAAGAAGGTGAAGCTAATATATTATATAGACTCAAAGTGAGATATTTCAAGTGTTATGATTGTGGTGATTATGACCTACAGTTTATGAAATTACAATATTGTGAAAAGGTTTTCAAATCTGTAAGTCATAACCACCACAATCATAACACTTGAAATATCTCACTTTGAGTCTATATAATATATTAGTTTCACCTTCTTAAGTCGAGTTACTGAAATAAATGAACTTTTGCCCCATGTTGTAGTTTCCGAGTCTCCTCTGTATATAATGACAGAATGTTTATTTTGAAGTGAAGGATCCCTTTAACGCTGGCCGTGTCAGGAGTGTGTGTGTGTGTGTGTTACCTGTGTACGGCATGTTCTTCAGCTCGGAGCAGGCGCGCACCACCAGAAACACCAGGTACAGAACGTACACACACACCACCAGCAGGAAGAAGATCTTCATGCCCTACAGCAAACACACACTTGCATTACGTTCCTCCGTAACACTCTACTACATAAGGGTCATCGTTTAAAGTGTAGTTCACCAACATTTACTGATACGTTATTAAAATCAAACGTTAACATTAGTTAATAAACTAACATGAACAAACAATGAACAGCTGGATTTGTATTAACAAAGATTAAACACTGTAACAAACGTATCACTCATACATGAACTAATGAACCTTATTTAACTAATGAACGTTATTGTAAAGTCAGCATGAAATCATGTTTGTTTACTCTAAATTATTTATCAGTGCACATCATTATTGTGTTAATAATCTTAATAACGTCCTCTTTCAGCATCTCTCCTCTTCTCTGATGATGTGGGTGGGGCTATAACCTGTCACTCACATGATATCAGCCAATAGCAAACCACAACCATCCAATCAGTTCCCCACAGACACAATCAAGCCCCGCCCACATGAAGCGTTTCTCTCGATATACGACACAATAGAGGAGAAGAGACCAGCGCAACTTCCCTTTCCTGCTGACTTTAATAGAAGTTCAAATATTTGTATTTATGTATAATATAAATTTTGTGTAAAAATATATATAGTATATACATGCAAATATTTCTTAATGGAAATATTTATATAATATAATATAAATATTATATTATGTAAACACAAACTTTTATTTTGGATGTGATTAATCGTTTGACAGCCCTATTTTATGATGTAATAATAAAACGTGACTGTCTCTCTCACTTTGACTGTAACGTGCTGAAATGACGTATAAAGTTGGATTTGATTTGGAAACGCACCTGGAAGTTCTGGATGTCCACTTTGTACTGATAGGTGGGATCCTGCAGCTCGTTCACCCTAATAACACACACGGAAATGAGAACAACAATCCCATCATAAGTCCTCAGCAGTTGAAGATGAACATGTGTCTTACGTCTGCCAGATGCCCAGCGTGACGGCCGATAACCACAACAGCCCCACGATCACCAACTTGGGCAGATAAAACGTCAGGAACTTCCTCTCGCCCTGAACATGAACATCACACACCACGTTTAGAAGCGCTGGGAAATAATTCAGAACTTGTGTACAGGAAACACACTCTCTGACCAAACATGAGTATGTGTGTGTGTTCTGCACCTGCACTCGGATGCCGTGATACACACACAGCCAGAACAGCAGGAGCGCACACAGGAACACAGACTGGAAGAAAGCGTCCAGCGTTCCCGGAAACCAGCTGTTCACCAGGAACGACAGCGGGAAGAAGGGATCTGCAACACAACACCAGTCCATGACACGCGTGTGTGTGTGTGTGTGTGTGAGAGAAGAGGGTTTATTTCAGGCTTTCGTTAGATTATAAATGTCTTGATTTGATGAAGACGTGAGTGTGTCGTGAGTGTGTCGTGAGTGTGTGTTGTGTGTGTCGTGAGTGTGTCGTGAGTGTGTTGTGTGTGTCGTGTGTGTCGTGAGTGTGTCGTGAGGGTGTTGAGTGTGTTGTGAGTGTGTCGTGAGTGTGTCGTGAGTGTGTCGTGAGGGTGTTGAGTGTGTTGTGAGTGTGTCGTGAGTGTGTCGTGAGGGTGTTGAGTGTGTCGTGAGTGTGTTGTGAGTGTGTCGTGAGTGTGTCGTGAGTGTGTCGTGAGGGTGTTGAGTGTGTCGTGAGTGTGTCGTGAGTGTGTCGTGAGGGTGTTGAGTGTGTTGTGAGTGTGTCGTGAGTGTGTCGTGAGTGTGTCGTGTGTGTCGTGAGTGTGTCGTGAGGGTGTTGAGTGTGTTGTGAGTGTGTCGTGAGTGTGTCGTGAGTGTCGTGAGTGTGTTGTGTGTGTCGTGTGTGTCGTGAGTGTGTCGTGAGGGTGTTGTGTGTGTTGTGAGTGTGTTGTGAGTGTGTTGTGAGTGTGTTGTGAGTGTGTTGTGAGTGTGTCATGAGTGTGTTGTGTGTGTTGTGAGTGTGTCACCATTGTAGAGCAGCAGCAGAGGGAGGAGGATGGACATCCACTTCTGCTCGATGCCCCAGTCCCTCATGGAGAACTTCCTCAGCGAGTGCGCAAACACACACTACACACAACAACACACACGTCAGACACACACACAGACAAACTAGGAGGAAGTGTCACACGCAATATGGAGGAACAAGCCCCGCCTTCTAAATACAACAGCCAATCGCTGATCAGCTGTTTAGAGTCAACATCAATGAGACATTTCACATACGGAACAGCAGGGATGCAGCGATACCCATAATTCATTATGTTTGAAAGCCGATAACCGATACATCGGCTGATAAATCCAAATCCACATTTTTTTATAATTTTTGAGAGCGTAAACAAAACTCTCAGCATTAAAATCCACAATTATAATGATGTCCTCGTTATAATGTCCTGTAGCCCATATCACAGATTTACACTTTTTGAAGTGAATCCAATCATATTTCAGTTTCATATTCCTTTAATCAAACGATCTCGTGTGATTGGCAGAAGTGTAGCAGCTGTAACTCACAGTCACGATGAAGGTCATCACCACGAACACAAAGCGGAACCAGATCTCCACCTGAGAGAACGTGGCGTTGTACATCTTAAACTGGCAAACAACAGACAGACAGAACCATTAACAATAATAATAATACCAATAATACCAATCACATGATTAATAACAGGAGTCCAAATGTTCTTTTGCTATTAAAAGAGAGTTTGAGAGCATTGTGGGACTTTTCTGAAGGTCTTCTTCTATGTTTTTGGTCACACAAGTTTCATTACCGGATGATTTTTTTTAAGAATCTCTTGAATGATTCAATGACTTGCTCGTCTCACTTGACTCAAGACTGGATGAATCAGCATTTTAAACAAATCTCATGAATGAATGATTCAATGAATTGTTCACTTGTCTCATTACTGGTTGAATCTTTTGTTTTTGAACAAATTGACTCACTTGTAAAGATTTCATTGGTTTCATTTACTAAATCTTTTTTTTTTTTAAATGAATCTTTTGAACGATTCAATGACTCACTAATAAATATTTCACTTGTTTCATGACTGGATGAATCAGCGTTTCTGAACAAATCTCATGAATCAATGATTGAATGGGTGCAAACAGCCCTTCGTGTTGTCTGTGAATCATGATGAATGATGTAAACTTACTACAAAAGTGACATTTTTGATGTTGTCCTTCAGGTCTTGCTGGAGGTTCCTGAAGCTGACGTTGATCTTGTACTGAGTGTAGTTCAGGTAACCCAGATGCAGCACCATAATCTCATCACACGCCTGCTGATGCTGAAAAACCATCACACACACACTCATGAACATTGGAACGAACCCATGTAGATCACACACACACACACACACACACACTGACCGCGGCGCACTGGAGGCTCCTGTTCTTGTTGTGCACGTTGTCGCTGATGCGCATCACGCTGGCGTCCTGCGTCACGCCCTGCAGCTCCACGTTCATCCCGAACTCCCTCCAACTCAAATCTACATCTGAACACATCACTTCATTAAAGCGGCACGACTCCGGATCAACTGAGAATCAGCATTTTAGACAATCTCTTGAGTGAATGATTCAATGATTCACTCTCAGAAACTTCATTTGCTTCATTGCTGGATGAATCAGTGTTTTTGAACAAATGTGATGAATGAATGATTCAATGACACACACACACACATTTCACAGTCGCTGTCTCCACCTACTGGTGTAATGAAGTAATCCACACAATCTTTATCTGAAGCGTCACGCATCTTTCAAAGGTGATTCACTCTAATTCGAACACTACCGTAGACATCAGTGTTTATATCCGAACTATAAACTCGAAACTATTCTGAATAAAAAGATGTTTAAAAGGAGTTTCCTCACTGTTGGTGTTGAGCTGAATGATGCACGTGAGCCACAGCTGCTGGTTATAGTTGGTCAGCATCGGAGATTTGAGGTCAAACGGGCCGGTCTGAGAAAACATGGACATGAACACAACAACACTTACACTTCCTGTACACAACACTTACACTTCCTGTACACAACACTTACACTTCCTGTACACAACACTTACACTTCCTGTTAAAACCTGGAGTGATTGAGACACATTTCTGTTTTTAAAAGAGTCTCTCCTGCTCATTGATTTGATCATTAATACAGTAAACAGTGTAATATTCCTCCAGTGTAAATCATCAGTTCTCTGTGTGAATATACAGTAAAGTGTAGTTTATTCCTGAATTTATCATCATTACTCCAGTCTTCAGTGTCACATGACCCTTCACAAATCACTCTAATATGAGGATCTGATGATCGACACACAGTTATGATTATTATTGGTGTTGAACACAGTCGTGCATTTTATTTTGCAGAATTCTTTGATGAACAGAAAACCCAGAACGACAGCGTTTATTAAGTTGGCTTGAGAAAGCCAACTTACTGAAATCCTATTTAAACTTATTATTTGAAATATAATCTTTTGTAACAATATTAATGTCATCAGATTTTCATATTAGAGTGATCATGTGACACTGAAGACTGGAGTAATGATGATAAATTCAGCTTTGATCAAACTACACTTTACTGTATATTCACACAGAGAACGGATGATTTACATTAGAATAATATCTCACTGTTTTTACTGTATTTGATCAAATAAAGGCTGAACAGACTTAATTGTCACAAAGAAAAAAATCTGAATTACGTTTTTTTTTTCCGCTTTGAGGAAATTAAGCCTGTTTCTTTTCTCACACACACACACACACACACACACACACACACAGTTCGCCTCACCTTTGATGCATTGACGCTGACGCTTAAACCGTTGTAATAATTCTCAGTGATGATCTTCGGTCCTACAGGAGAGACATTCATCAGTAAACTGCACAAACAACAACCTTCATATCTCATATAATAACAGCTTTATCGGTCTCAGTCTCTGTGACAAACATCAGCTAGATCTGAAGACCTTTGAAACGTGGATTTAAGACATTTTAATGCTAATTAAGGCCTTATTTTAAGGATCCGCATTTATTCATCTTTGTTAAAATTAGTTAATAAAAACACATCAGTTAATTTCAGATCAGGTCTATTTAATAATATTAACAGATACAACTTAATGTTGTAAATTTGTTCAAATTATGCTAAAATAAATGTTGAAATAAACATTAACTGACAAGTTAACTACAATTTTTTTGTAAAGCGTTATCAAAATACTAAATTGTTTCCTCTTTAAAAGTGCTTTTAGGAAACCTATTAATTTCTAAACTCATAAAAAGCTTGTAATATTCTTTAACTGACTTGTAATAATATATATATGTAATAATGTAATAATATTAAATAAATAAAAATGAAACATTTCAGAGTGTGAGCAAATGCATTTAGTAAAAATGCATGAATAAAAACAGGCATTTTTAACTCTTAATTGCTTTAATTTTGATCTCTGAGGGTTCAGAATCACAGCCCTTCAGTGTGAGCAGGACAGGTGCATGCTGGGAAACGAGACTCACCTGACACACCGATGAGCGTGGACACGCCGAAGCAGAAGAAGAACACCACAAACACCAGGACGAAGTGTCTCTTAGAGAGAGTGTAGAGACGCATGGGGGCCAACCTGCAGAACACACACACACACACACACACTTATTTCAAAACATCTGTCTTGGTGAGTGATTCACATAAACACTGTGTTGTTGTGTCTTAAGTGAAGTAAACAGATGTGTAACATTATTAGATCTGTGCATTAGCTCTTAAAATAATAATAATAATAAACCTGCTGATATTAATGTTAATCTATTTGTATTAATACACTATGCAGTGATTATTTTTACATTCAAGTTCTGTATTTCTTACTTGAATTATTCTTTTACACAGAGGTCAAATTAAAAGAATGTAAAGCACTGTTCATTTAATGTTTTTTTATATTGCATTTGGACTTTGTTCTGTTTATTTGCATCATTGTTCTTTTTTATAACAAAAATAACTATATTGAGATTATTAATACCGTAATTATAATTGTTATTAATAAAATAAATGGAGGAAAAGATACATCGAGCATCGTTTTGTAATCGAATCGCAAGGCAAGTGAAAATTCACACCTCAAATATATATATATATATATATATATATATATATATATATATATATATATAACACACACACACACACACACACACACACTCCTCTCTCTCTCTCTCTCTCTCACAGGACATGAAATTAGATCACGCCCACAACATCCGAGATATGTTGCAAAAACACAAAAACATTTACAGAAACTCTAAATATAATCAATCGATTATTTATAACTACATAAACGGTGTGAAACGCGCGCACGTGCGCGTTCACTCACTCAAACAGCTGGAGCGTCACTAAGAGAGGCCGCAAAACTGACAAAAACACGCGATTATTAAACACATAAACACACGTGTGTGTTTCTACGCGATGTTGTGATTGCCACACACACACTTACCGCTCCATCGCGCTGATTTTATTCCACTGGCGGCGATAAATCCGCGAATAAATCAGAATATGTTTGTTGTGGGCGCATATCCGCACACATCAGCCCACTGACGTCAACACACGAGCTCACGTGACCTCCATAGCAGTGAGTGCGCATGCGCCATTTGCATTATTGGTTATATCGATTAATAACACAAACTTGTATGTATGAATTGAATCTAACTCGTTTTAACGCCACTTTAATATGCACGGGGCTTGCTATTACAGAGGTCTACATTTAAAAAGAACATATTAAACTTATATTTTAGACATTTAAAGAAAATATTATAGTTATACAGTGGTCATCATATTTATGATGAATAGTGAGCAATCGTCGCTGTGTTCGCCATTGTTTGTGAGAACCGAGAACCGATGTGACATTCACATAATTCGTTCAATAAAAGCGTTTCGATGACCTGGAAGACACAGCGTTCATAAACACTCCACATAAACGTGTTTGATCCGTGAATGCTCGAGTACCTGTAGAAGCGCTCGTTCCTGTAGGGCGTCAGGTCCTCCTTCAGCTCGTTGCAGGCTTCTTGTATTCTCTTGCAGAAATGCTTCATCTCGCTGACCAGAGGGTTTTCAGGGCTGCAGAAGTCGCTGTCCGGCCGATCCATGTCTTTTCATTGAAAATGGCGTTTGCTGGTGTTTTGCAGCGGCTCTATTGAGAGTAAATGCAGGCGAAGCGCTTTGATTGTGCAGTTCGGATGATGGTCGTGTGCGCATGCGCGGTCAGGACCACGGACAGGGCCCAGGCCACTAGATAGGGCGCACTAGATAGGGCTCATAATATATACACCCTGAAGACTAAATATAGTGACTTTTCAGTCATATAAACGGAATATTTAAAATATTTAAGAAACTCTATGAAGGCACGATGCTATACATTTATATTTACATTCATATTTTCCAAATTGTGTTGTGTTATGAAGTGGCTTAACTTTATATTATGCCATTTTCTTTGGTTTTAGTCAGAAATTATACACAAATGAACGGTTGTTCGTATGAGTGTGTAAGTTTGTGAATGTGTTTGTGTGTGTGTGTGAGTGTGTATAAAAGAGTGAGTCAGTGTGTGTGTGTGTGTGTGTGTGTGTGTTCTGCAAAGGCTCAAGAACTCAATGATCGAGGAGAAACTTCAACCTGTACACTTTATTGGGCTACACACCGACAAAAGGACACAATTCAGCTTTTGAGGAACAACAAAACTGTTCATTACAGTACAGTGCAAACCCTAGTGCATATAGGCTTCAAGTTAGTCACGCCTGACCCCGAACCCGAGTCTGATTACAAAATAAGAGTCCAAAAACAGGGGAATTAGCAAAGCAAGGGATTCCCCTCAATATACAGTATATATAGAGCAAATAAACACACTTCCAAAAATATCTGAAACGAGTCCACACGTGACTTTTCACCTCAAAACCAAAGGGCATCATGGGTGTATTTCATTTATTTTAGACAGAATGGACACACATATTTCGGCAAACGTGAACGTGATGCAGTTATAACGATCTTCGATCCCGAAGCCAGTCCATGCTCACCGTACTTTAAAAAACAAGTCATTTACCCAGCATGCCGTTCAATGCACACATTCAGTCCGCTTGTCCTTCATCGCCAAAGCATCTATTTGACCTATTCCTACAGATATACCAAGCACATAACTGTACAGTAAAGTCCATCAATCAAATCAGTAAACGGAGAGACACACACACACGGGAGATGGAGAATGTGACGTAACGGTTTAACCCTCATCTTTCCCTCGCGGAGCCCTAAAATTGTACGTATACTTTTTTCCCAGAAAGCTTATTTTATTCCATTTTAATAATATTTTTCTTTTTTTTTTTACTTTTAAATTGCTATAATTGCTCAATAAATCATAATTTAAGCACATTCAACTTTTTCAACTTAAATTCAAAATATCTTGCACTATTCTTTTAATTCAGCTCTAAATATCTTTCATTGAGTGTCTTGGCCGACCTCATGTGGAAAAATAATAATATAACATGATATTTCATGACTAGATGGCCTTATAGCTCTACATGTGAAACTCGAAAAATTATGGTGCAAAAGTTCATTTATTTCAATAATTCAACTTAAATGGAGAAACTAATATATTATACATCTATAGTGAGATATTTCAAGCCTTTGTTGGTTATAATTTTGATGATTATGGCTTACAGATTATGAAAACCCCAAATTCAGTGAAAAGGTTTTCATAGCTGTAAGCCATAATCATCAAAATTATAACCAATAAAGGCTTGAAATATCTCACTATATAGATATATATTAGTTTCACCTTTTAAGCATCCCATTCATTCCTATGGGGGTCAAATAGTTTTGTTACGTTACTTTTTAAAATTTCGACCACAAAACTCGAATCAATTTTTAGTGTGTATTCGTGGTTCAAATGCGACTAAAGTCTGATGAATTTTTCCAGGACACAATGACCCGAGGGAAGGATGAGGGTCTCTCGTTGTAAGGGTTGTACTAATCTGGTTTTAATTCACAAAAACACACGTGACAAACCCATCCGGGGTCACTTCACTACAAGCTACACCTTAACCACAATCACCTTCAAACCGTAGGAGCAAATTACACCGAAACCCACCGCCATTCCCACACACACACACACACACACAACACCAAGCTGAAGAGTCCTTTATACATAAATAATGTTCACACACTTACAAAAGGTGGATCAAACGGCACGTGTTTATCGTCAACCGCCGTCTTGAGAAGTTCAACGGTATAAAGAAAGCATTAGTCTTGACAATATTGCACAATTAAACAAACAAGACATAAATAAATAAATAAACTCAACACACAAACTAATTCTCAACTCACCGTCGGAAAGGGAATCCAGGCCAAAGTAATCACCACATTAACCCAAAAACAAAGCAAAACCACTCTTTACAAAAAGACATAAGACACACACACACACACACACGTGCAAATACAATGTGTTTTATGCTGTAAAGGTACTAACTGTTTGAACAACACTGACTGATCCACTAAAGAATTGAAATGAAATGACCAGCGCCTTGAATTCCCTCTCATCTGGGACTTGTCTATTCATGCTGGATTCTTCATCACTCGCCTGTTTTACTGACATCAGTCAGTCATCTCCCTGTGTCCTGCATTCCTCAAACCTACAGCTGAATTTCTAATCGGACTACAAGGTTTTCATCTAACACTGATATTCTTAGCACTGATGAGAAACCGTGTCGCACAAACTGAAACAAAGAATAGGTATGAAGTGACGTTATTGTTTTAAGACGGTAGAAAAATATCTCCTGTCGCTTGTTTGTTTGCACATGTTGAGGTGGATTAAATGTGGCTTTGAGAGCCATTACTCAAAATCACTTCACAGAAGCGTCAGCAGGGGGCAGTCACTGTCTTTTTTTGGGATGCGAGCTGATTGGCACATCTTACCCACCTATTCTTAGAAATGCATAATCAGGAAGACGGTAAAAAAAAGTAAAATATAAAATGGCAAGCAGGGCAAGTACAAATAATAAATCTGGAGAAAAGAATAAAAAAAATCACTAGAAAACATCGAGTGCTAATGAACACAGCATCAATGGTTTGACCGTTGAGCTTCTTCAGGGTCCTATCCAAATCCTATCCTACAAGACTGGATATTCAGTCCTACTATTTGTTAATAAAATACATTTTATGACTGCAAGCCAAAAAGCATCTGAATCAGATGCTAGCAATCCAACTCCAAGGGCAAAGTCCCTGGAAGTGAGTTTAGATACGAGTTTGACAAACATTAGTATCTTACGCAACAAACAAAAAATAATTAGTAACATGACAGTATGTTGTACAGCAATTGATTTTAGTGCCCAGTAGTACCGCTAACACTAGGAAAATGTGGCATTACTTCCCAGATGTAATTTTCAAGTATTAGTACTGCATCTTAAACTGGGAAAAAACAACAACAAAAGAACTAGAGAGCAAAAGGAAAGAAATGGTATTGTTGGCTAAAACGTCCCGGGCGATCACTTGAGGCGCTGCGTGACGTTAGCGAGCGCTACAGCAAAAGCTTGCACGGCGGAGAAGGGATACTGGAAGTCCAGTATGTACGCGTTCCCGTCGATCCGTCCGAACTGCATCACCTAGACGGAGCAAAATAGGCTAACGTTAGCAAACGAAGCGGCATCTAAAGCTTGTATAGAAGGCAATTCAAGGTCCTTGCACACCGAGGCCGAGATTTTCGCATGGGTTTTTTCATATCTGTCATTCGGTGGCTCTGAATGGTCAAAACCCCTCTCATAACACTTGCTACGGATGCGGAATTCGCTCAAATTGAACCCGATCCGAAAGTTTAGGGTTAGGGAATTATTTTTTAACGTGCGTTTTTAAATATAGGTGTGCAAGGACTTTAGAAAGTAGAAAAGTTGCTTGTCCGGACAAAAATGGTCAAATTCTTCAATTTGATCAATAAATTCAATTCAAACCAACATTTATTCAGACAGCTTCAATATTTCTCACATTAATCAGTTTATTCGCTTTAGTTTCTTTGTGCTGGGCAACGATTAATCGCATCCAAAATAAATATCTGTTTAAATAATATATGTGTGTGTGTACATTGTAAAATTATTTCTATATATAAATACACACACATGCATGTAAGAATTTTTATTTATATATAATATCAATAATGTATATATATATATATAAATATATATACACACACATGCAAATATTTCTTAAATACTGTACATGCATGTGTGTGTATTTATATATATACAAAATAATTATACAACGCACATACATATTATGTAAATATTAAGGGAGTAGTTCACTTTTGAAAAAACGTTTGCTGATAATTTACTTACCCCCATGTCATCCAAGATGTCCATGTCTTTCTTTCTTCAGTCGAAAAGAAATTAAAGGTTTTTGATGAAAACATTCCAGGATTTTCTCCATATAATGGACTTCAATGGGGTCCAAACGGTTCAAGGTCCAAAACAGAGTTTCAGTGCAGCTTTAAACGACACCAGACGATGAATAAGGGTCTTATCAAGCGAAACGATCACTCATTTAATAAATAAATAACAAAGTTTAAGTTTTATAAGCTCAAATGCTCGCCTTGCTCTGTTCTGTGATGCGTGTTTGTGACTCTCATGTTCGAACTCATTCATCAAAATGAACAAATCTTTTTCCCGAGTCATTTGGTTCATTCAACAAATGAATTGACTCGGAAAAAGATTCGTTCATTTTGATGAATGAGTTCGAACAGGAGAGTCACGAACGTGTATCGTTGTACAGAGCAAGGCGAGCATTTGAGATTATAAAACATAACTTTGTTATTTATTTATTAAATGAGTGATCGTTTCGCTTGATCCCTTTGCTTTGACCCTTATTCATCGTCTGGTGCCGTTTAAAGCCCTTTGAACAGTTTGCAGTTTGTACTGAAAGTGTCTTTTGGAATCCATTGAAGTCCATTATATGGAGAAAAATCCTGGAATGTTTTCATCAAAATCCTTCATTTCTTTTCGACTGAAGAAAGAAAGACACGGACATCTTGGATGACATGGGGGTGAGTAAATTATCAGCAAAAGTTTTTTCAAGTTTTTTCCTTTAATGTGGAGCTCTGCAATAGATGTGTTGTGTACCTGTCTCCCCTCGAGCTCAATCTGGAAGTTCTTGGCCGATTCCTGCGTGACTCTTCCTCCAAAGTCCAGCTGGTAAACCTGCGTGGCTTCGTTCCACAGAGGCTGCTT